ATGGCCTTTATTCCACATTGATTACATAATATTGCAACAAAAAAAAGCCTTCAATCAATGACCCTAATACAATTTTTATTTACTAGCTCATTATTCTTTTACCACTGACATTGCTACTGTTTTGTTGTGCTGCTTGAAGGTTCATTAACAAAGAGAAATAAGTCAAGAAAAAAGACAATACTTACAAATATGGATTTTATAATGATGAATCCCTTATATCTATGCAGTTGAACCATTATATCTATCGGAGTTTGGGATGCCAATATCTGTGGATGCTTAAGTCCCATTATAAAAGTGATTTAGTACAATAGTATCCCTTATAAAAAAAATGCTGAAATCAAGCTTTGATTATTAAAATGTTTCAAGTCATGGGTGATGTAATCAATAGACCATGAATCTGTGGATACAGAGGGTAGACTGAACACATTTTATAAATTATCATTTGAAATGCTTCATGTTGTTGTTGTTCATTCATTCAGTGACTTGCGACTCTTTGTGACCTCATGGACCATCCCACACCAGAACTCCCTGTCAGCTGTCAACTCGCCCAGCTCCTTCAGAGTCAAGCCAGTCACTTCAAGGATACCATCCATCCATCTTGCCCTTGGTCGGCCCCTCTTCCTTTTACCTTCCATTTTCCCCAGCATAATTGTCTTCTCTAAGCTTTCCTTTCTTCTCATGATGTAGCATTTGAAAAGCTTGGCCTTTCACTGAACATCAAGAAAACCAATTGCTCTACCAACAGGCACCAAGCAATCCCTCTGTAATGCTAGAAATTCAGCTTAATGGTGTAATGTTATAAAATGTTGACAGTTTCTGCTATCTTGGCAGCCACCTCTCCACAACATCGACACTGAAATACAATGTCGTCTCAGCTCTACAAGTGCAGCGGGTTTTTTTTTAACGAAGAAGAGAGCGTTTGGGAATCAGGACATTCATAGGGATATCAAGATGCTTGTTTGTGAAGCGATTGTACTCCCAACTCTGTCATACGCCTGAGAAACATGGACCATCTACAACCATCACTCTCAACTTCTGGAATGCTTTCCTCAGTGTTGCCTCTGAAAAACCCTGCAAATCTCTTAGGAAAACAGGTGGATAAATATCAGCATTATGGAAGAAGTAAAGATCACCAGCACGGAAGTGATGATCCTTTGTCATCAACTTTGTTAGAATGGACACATCATGCAAATGCCTGGTTACCATCTCCCAAAACAGTCAACTCAAGAACAGAAAACAGAATGTCTGTGGACAGGAAACGAGATTTAAAGATGGGCTTAAAGTCTTAATATGTATAATGAGACCCATGCACTAGGAAATATTTCCACAACAAGCCAATTTTTCAAAATCCAATTATGACAGAGACAGAAAGCGTGGTGAAATCTTCTGAACAGGGGTACAGACTGCAAAACAAACACCAAAGAGATGTTAACCCTTACCTGTTCTGACTTATATAAAAATTCAACTTATTCGTAACTTGGGGTCTGCCTGTATGGAGAAATATATTTACGAAGACAAAAAGTTAGACACACTCAATGAGTGCAGTTCTGTGCACACAGCTGGATGGAACAAGCAACTTTACACACTGTTGGACTCTGAGTAAATCCACAGAGGATCCGGTTGCACATATGTTGCATATACTTTCCCTTAAATAAATATGGCACAGCTGTGGCGTATTGTACAAGGCTAAACAAGGAGGAACAGCAATGAGCAAAATACAACAACATTATTCAAATATAGCAGCATAAAATAATCCTTCTGGTTTTTTTTCTCTCTCTCTCTCTCCCCCCCCCCCTTTATTAAAGGAATAATGCTTGTTAATCATTAGGGATTTTGAGTATATACATTATGGCCAGCACATTTATTTAAAAGAGGAACTCCCTTCTCAGTGCTTACTGATGGCTTATTCCAAAACAGCAAAAGATACTTCACTTGGCCAAGAAATGGTCTGTCTGTACTCAGATGTCTCAGTTCAAGTTCAGTTCAATCCAAGAATAATAAATAATCATTGGATTCCGTCTATGATATACACAGAACACTGTCCCTAGTTTTATGTTGTGTTGTACAAGGAGTTCTATACTCATTGAACTGTCATTTCAAAAACACTGAGAAAGACTTTCCCTTGTTTTCCCCCATTTTCTATTATGTACACTTTTGGTCTCCTGTTTTTTTGTTTTTGTTAGTTATTGCTTCACTGTCATTCTACCTATTTTTTGTTGTTGTTAATTAAAGCAAGGTCTTGGCTCCATGTTTCCACATCACTTTTTGGAAGGACTGGTTTTTAGCTGCTGTATACTAAAATACTTCAATTATAGCATTATTTATCTCTTCTGTGAAGGGTTACCACTGGCATTGGTCCTAGCCTTTTTGGGTAAGTTCTATACAGGACGTCACATATTTGGATACTTGAAGTCCCATACTGGGCCTTTATAAGAAGCCTCACATCCCATATTCCCAAAAGGCCAATCTTTATTTGGTATGCAACCAAATGTCCTTACATACCCATGTCCCATGTAAACCACCCCTAGTCACTTTAGGGAGATGGAGGTGGGGTATAAAAATAAAGTTGAGTTGTTGTTGTTGTTGTTGTTGTTGCATGGTCAGACACCTGTGTACCACTCTTATTCTTTTCTGGCTGAGACACTGCCATCCAAAATCATGTCTTACATAGTATTTGGTCCCTTCTACACTGACATATAATCCAGTTCAAAGTAGATAATCTGGATTTTATATGGCAGTGTAGAAGAGGTCTAATTTTACAAGCTCGTTAGCCAATTGTGCTGGTCCCTCGCCAAACTACAAATCCCAGGATTCCACAGCATTGAGCCATGTGGAGTCAAACTGCATTAATTCCATGGTGTTGATGCATTCCAAGGCTGGATCTACACTGCCCTATATCCCAGGATCTGATTCCAGATTCCTTTAGAACAGATTACACAAGTCTACACTGTCAGTGGCAGATAATCTGAGATAAAATCATAATCTGGGATTAGATCCTGGGATATAGGGCAGTGTAGATTCAGCTCAAGTCCACTCAAACCATGCCACCATATTGTCTCTCACTGCTTGTTCTAGATTCTCCCATTAGCAACACCAGACAGTCTGGAGAGGGCCAGCAGTTAAGACTGCCTTATGGTGCATTTATGCTGTAGAATGAATACAGTTTGACACCACTTTAGCTGTTACCTCTTTAAATGCTATGGAAGTGATAGTTTTAGAAAGCCGTCTCTGCCAAAGAGTGTTGGTACTTCACCAAACTACAACTCCCTTGTTCTCTAACATTGATTGATTGATTGATTGATTGATTGATTGATTTACTATATTTTTACCTTGCTCTTCTCACCCTGAAGGGGACTCAGAGTGGCTTGCAAATATGGCAAAATTCAATGCTGCATTACAAATATAAATAAATAAAAAAACACATAAAGTAATAAAAACAGACAAAAGCATATAAATACAATTTAAAAGATTAAAAACATAGTGCCTGTACCCATAGTTGTTGTTTGTGCTGCATTCCATATTGCACTATGCCCCAAAAGCCTGGTGCCATAGCCAAGTGTTCAGCTTTTTCCTGAATGTGAGGGAAGAACCAGTTTTATGTCACTGGGAAGGGAATTCCATAGCCGAGGAGCCCCCACTGAGAAGGCCCTGGCTCTCGTCTCAACCAATTGCGCATGCGAGTGGGGTGGAATCAAGAGCACGGCCTTCCCTGCAGTTCTCAAAGCTCTAACTGGACAGGTAATTGGGCCAGAACTGTTTAGGGCAGTGGTTCTCAACCTGTGGATCCCCAGATGTTTTGGCCTTTAACTCCCAGAAATCCTAACAGCTGGTAAACTGACTGGGATTTCTGGGAGTTGTAGGCCAAAACATCTGGGGACCCACAGGTTGCGAACCACTGGTTTAAGGCTTTGTAGTCCAAAGCCAGCACTTTGAATTGTGCAGACTGGCAGCCAGTGAAGCTGACATAACAGGGGGTTGTATGCTCCCCTGTACGCCGCTCCAGTGAGGAATCTAGCCGCCACCCATTGGACCACTTGAAGCTTCTGAGCAGTCTTCAAAGGCAACCCCACATAGTGTGTGTTGCCTGTCCAGTTAGAGCTTTAAGATCTGTAGGGGAGGCCGTGCTCTTGATTCCACCCCGCTCGCATGTGCGATTGGTTGAGACGAAAGCCAGGGCCTTCTCAGTGGGGGGTCCTTGGCTATGGAATTCCCTTCCCAGTGACATAAAACTGGCTCCTCCCTCACATTCAGGAAAATGTCCATGCACTGGCAGGACTGTTTGAATCTGGGGAGCAGGGTGAGCTCCCATCTGTCAGCTCCAGCTTCTCATGCGGGGACATGAAAGAAGCCTCCCACAGGATGGTAAAACATCCAGGCATCCCCTGGGTAATTTGCAGTTTCTCAAGTTGCTCCTGACACGAAAACGAAAAAAAAAATGTAGCTATGCTCCTTGGCAGTTAAAGTGAGGCACCCTTGGACTTTGGGGGCTCGCTGGATGCAATTCCATTGTAGAATGAATGGCATCACTTGAGCTACCAAGGTCCAATGCCATGGAATCAGGCAAGTTGCAGTTTTAGAAGATTTCCATCTTCTTTGCCAAAGTGTGCTGTTGCCTGCCCAAACTGCAACTCCTTGATTCTATAGCATTGACCCTTGGAAGTCAAAGTGATGTCAAGGGACACCCAAGACGGTTGATGCACCCTTGGGCTTCAGGTGGCTCGCTGGATGCATCTCCATTGTAGAATGAATGCAGTTTGGCATCACTTGAGCTACCTTGGCTCAAAGCCATAGAATCAGACGAGTTGCAGTTTTAGATCTTTCGCCTACTCTGCCAAAGTATGCTGGTACCTGACCAAACTACTGACTCCTGGATTCTATAGCCTTGGGCCATGTCAATTAAAGTGGTGTCAAACTGCAGTCATTCTTCAGTGGAGATGCACTCTCTGCTGCTGCTGCTGCTCCGGCGGGTCACCTCCTCCTCCTCCGCCCCAAAGGGAGAGGGCGCGCGAGTCAGCTCGTCCCAGGACTTAGGAAAACTCCTTGATCGGTCGCGCCAAGCACTTGGCCGGCGACAAGGAGGGCGACCCTTCCTGAGCTCCCTTCCTTCCTGCTCCGGGGAGAGAAAGCGCAAAGTGGTCCAGAGCCGACCTGATCGCGGTTGCCTTCCTCGCAGAGGCTGAGAAGGAGAAAAACTCTTCCACGCCTCAAGACTCCAAGGAAAGAGAGAGGGATGCTTCCTTTGGGGCTCCCGGGCTGCGTTCTCCCCCTTTGGTTGGCACTGCTGTGCCCCTGGGCATCTCGGAGCCAGCAAGGTAAGCAAGGCAGAGCTGGGTGGCTCCATGAAGAAGTGGGTGGAAGGATGCCTGTGGCTAGACATTAGCTTTTCTTTATTGTATTTAGAATGTAACATCCAAAGGCTCCAAACTGCACCCCTCTCTGGCTTATATATTTGAAGAAGGGAACCCAAAGGTGTGCTTTCAAAAGTGTACCTGTCCCTTTAAAAACAGAAGTAGCTGCTCTTTTGCAACTAGAGCTTTTTTTTATTTCCAGAAGGGAATGCAAGGGCACCCTTTCAAAGGGGCATCTTTAGTTTTGAAGAGAGAGCAACATATTTTTATATTCCATCTGGAGCTGTTAAAGAAGAAAAGGGCAAAGGCATGTTTTTGAAAGTATTTTTAGCTTTCAAAAAAGAAGAAAATATTTATTTACATTACAGATATTTACATCCTGGCACTGAATGTTTGCCATATGTGTTGGACACCACTCTGAGTCCCTTTGGGAAGACAGGGCGGTTATGTTCCAGAAGCATTCTCTCCTGACATTTCGCCTGCATCTATGGCAGGCATCCTCAGAGTTTGTGAGGTCTGGAACATGGCTGTACAGCCCGGAAAATGCACAACATCCCAGTGACTCCAGCCATGAAAGCCTTCAACAATACGTAGTTTTATTGGGTTGTTGTAGGTTTTTTTCGGGCTATATGGCCATGGTCTAGAGGCATTCTCTCCTGACGTTTCGCCTGCATCTATGGCAAGCTTCTTCAGAGATAGTTGGAATAGTTCTGTTGGAACTAGGAAAAAGGGTTTATATATCTGTGGAATGACCAGGGTGAGACAAAGGACTCTTGTCTGCTGGAGCTAGGTGTGAATGTTTCAACTGACCACCTTGATTAGCATATAATGGCCTGACAGTGCCTAGAGCAAACTTTTGCTGAGAGGTTTTATTATTACTAATAGTTTTATTATTACTATAGTTTGCATTAAAAGAAGGAAATGCAAATGAATGTATTCCAAAAGGCATCTCTGGATTTAAAAAAGGGGAAGAAAATGCAAAAAAATTAATCACTTCCATATTTGATCCTTAGTATAAAAAAAAAAGAGGGGGAAAATGCAAAGATTGCATCTTACCCTGAGTCCCCTCAGGGAGATAGGGTGGAATATAAATACAGTATTATTATTATCCATAGCATTTACAGGTATTTAAAAAGAGAAGAAAATACTAAGGCAAGTATTCAGAATTGCAATCTTTCTGTAATGGTCCCTCTTCCTTCGTTTTTATACTTTTTCCTTTGTTACTAAACTTTTTTTTACAGTTTTTTTTACCAGAATAAAAACAAACAAAAAACAAAAATGGGACAGTTAACAGAAAAGTTCGTGTGATTTTTGTGTGTGTTTGGAGCACTCTGAAGAGATGATGTGATTCACAAATTTCAATAAATATAATAATGCTATGTAAGTGCTATTTTTCAAAACTAATACCAGGATTATAGTCACTAATACAGCTGTTCATAAAATAGCACAACCACTGTGATAACCACCAAGAGCTTTAACTGTATTGGGTTGTTGTGAGTTTTCCAGGCTAAATGGCCATGTTCCAGAAGCATTCTCTCCTGATGTTTTGCCCACATCTATGGCAAAACATCAGGAGAGAATGCCTCAGAGGTTGTGAGGTCTATTGGAAACTAGTCAAGTGAGGTTTATATATCTGTGGAATGGCCAGGGTGGGAGAAAAAACTCTTCTCTTCCTGAGGCAGGTGTGAATGCTGCAATTGGCCACCTTGATTAGCATTTAATGGCCTTGTAGCTTCAAAGCCTGGCTGATTGCTGCTCGGGGATCCTTTGTTGGGAGGTGTTAGCTGTCCTTGATTGTTTCCTGTCTGGAATTCCCCTATTTTTTTAGTGTTGCTCTTTATTTACTGTCCCGATTTTAGAGGTTTTTTTAAAAAAATATTGGTAGCCACTAAACATTTTGTTCATTTTCATGGTTTCCTCCTTTCTCTTGAAAATTTCATTGGCTTCTCTGTGTAGTCTGACATGGTAGTTGTTAGAATGGTCCAGCATTTCTGTGTTCTCAAATAAGATGCTGTGTCCAGGTTGGTTCATCAAGTGCTCTGCTGTGACTGAGTAAATAAAGAACAGTAAATAAAGAACAACACTCAGAAAACAGGGGAATTCCAGACAAGAATCAATCAGTGCCAGCTAACCATCTTTAGCTAACATTTCCAATCTTTAGTCACCCTACCGTGAACACATCACAGTGTTTTCTTGGCTAATATGTTCAATATTTTTGCAGCTCCAGAATGTCATTCTGCTGGTCATCAGATCCTCCATAGTCCATATCGAAGTACCGAATTTGATTCATCACAACTTCAGCAATCAGCTATTCAGGATCTCATATGTGACCATTCATTGGCACCAGGATGGTATCGCTTCCTAATTTTTGATAAACAGGCTGAAATGCCAACCAAGTGTGTGGAGGTATTAGTGCACTCCCATCAAACTTATACAAAGTATTGTAGAATTGAACCATTTAAAAGGACATTAGCAATAATTGCAACATAATGCATCAAAAGATCCTTTCTTCACAGCTGTCAATTACCCAAAGCTCACCTGAATAAAGAGTGTCTGTTCTCTGAAGGACAATAGTTCATCTGTGTTATGACAGTTTATCACTTCTCTAAGGCTCCTTCCACACAGCTGAATAAAATCCCACATTATCTGCTTTGAACTGGAATATGGCAGTGTGGACTCAGATAACCCAGTTCAAAGGAGATATTATGAGGGTTTTTTTTTTTTGCCTTGATATTCTGTGTTATATGACTGCGTGGAAGAGTCCTAAGAAACTGGCAACCTTTTCCACATTTTTAGTGCCAGACATTTCTATTCACTAGTTGGGAAAAGCAGCAACCACTATTTTTGTCACTATTACTCCATCATTCAGACCTATTCCTTGGTAGTAGTACAATTATCATAGGATGCATGATAAACTATAAATTGTGGATCAGGGGTATATTTACATTATAGAATTAGTGCAGTTTGACATCACTAACTGCCATGGCTCAATGCCATAGAATCATGGGAGTACTTCTGTAAGGTCTTTACCCTTCTCTGCCCAAGAATACTAGTGTCTCACCAAACTACAAATCTCAAGTGTCAATAGGAATGAGCCATTCTTATAAAAGTGATGCCAAAGTGCATTAATTCTACAATGTAGATCCATCCCAAGTTGGTACTTGGTACCATTCAACTCTATGAATCCATGATCAATATAAAAGCTGGGAAACATCCAAGCAATGATACCATTTTTAAGAAGGAACTAGAAGAAAGTTGGATTGAGGTCCATGAAAAGCCTGGTTCAGCTCAAGAGTTTGAGGATGCCCAACACTGAACTTTTTCCCCATTGTGTACTATGGCCATCAAGATATATGTTCTACCCTTTATTTTTGCATTGCTTGGCAAATGGTAAAATGTGAAAAGAGTATACTGCACATATTTTCTTTTCTCTTTCTAAAAGATGAATCGCTGTGGAACACAGGCCCCGATCTGGTTGTCTCTGGGAGAGTCTGAATCTATGCCCCAGCCTGGTGAGATGAAACACTTAACAGCCTGTGCAACTTGGCAGTTTTTCTTCAGTGCCACAAAGGACTGCTGCCTTTTTCGAATTCCTGTTAGTGTCAGAAATTGTGGCAATTTCCTAGTATACTTTCTCCAGCCCACGCAAGGGTGCATGGGATATTGCGCAGAAGGTGAGATGCCTTGACGTCATATTCAACTCTGAATGTACTTGGCTAAAATTCCCACTTTTAAATGGTAGCATTTATGACTACACTTATCCTATATACTCATGTATAAATCTAGAGATTGAACCAAAAAACCTGGGTCTATTTATCCTTGGATTAATGTGAGAACTGTATCTTAACTCTTATAAAAAAGGAATCATTCCCTTCCCAAAGTGGAGTGGCAAAAGCCATGATCTTTTTCTGGCCTTGGAACACTCATAAAAGAAGCACCAACAATTTCTACTTTCTCTTTTAAGGCGCCCCATCTGCCTTTTAAAATATCTAATCAGGGAAATTGTGGCAACCAGGGCACCTGTTTGTTCCAGTTTGATGGATTAGTTTCAGTTTGTTCAGCTTGATGACATGCACAAGATCCTTGGAGCTGTGAGAGCGGCCACTTTCACTCTAGATCCTTGCCCTTCCTGGCTTATCAAACAAGCCAGAGGGGGATTGGCCGATTGGATCACAAATATTATCAATGCATTGTTGGGCCATGCCAACATGCCATCTTGCCTGAAAAATGCAATAGTAAAATCAATCTTAAATAAAGCTGCCCTGAACCATCTATTATTAATAATTATCAGCCTATTTCCAATCTCCTTTTTTGGGGGGCAAGATTCTGGAGCGGGTGGTGGCTACTCAACTTCACGGATTCTTGGATGAAATCGATTATCTTGACCCCTCACAGTTTGGTTTTAGGCTTGGCTATGGTTGCCTTGGTGGATGACCTCCGCAGAGAGCTAGACAGGGGGAGTGTGTTCCTGTTGGTTCTCTTGGATCTCTCAGCAGCTTTAGATTTCATCAACCATGGTATCTTTCTGAACCAGGTCTCTGAGATGGGCCTTGGGGGTACTGCTTTGCAGTGGCTTTGCTCATTCCTGAAGGGCTGGACCTAGATGGTGATGCTGGAGGATGCCTGCTTAGATCCCTGGCCATTGGCCCATGGTGTCCCACAAGGCTCTATTTTATCCTCATGCTTTTCAACTTTTACATGAAACTGCTGGGTGAGGTCATCCAGAGTTTTGGAGTTTGGTATTATTATTATTATATAAAGATGATGATGATGATGATGATGATGATGATGATGATGATGATTATCTGGCACCCTGAGACAGCATTGGTGCTTTCCCCTCTCAGTGAAATGACCCTTGCCTTATCCCTGCGTCATAACAAAATCCATATTTTGGCTCTAAAACCTGCCCTTTATTAATACATGAGGTCAACCTACACATGAATATATATGATATTTCAAAATGTGAAGCTGTTGGATTTGGTGGCTCGCCTTCGCATTCTGCTCAATGGGTCTCTGGACCTCTGCTGTCAAATCTAACTCTTGGTGGACAGTGAGGAATTTTGTGCCATTGCATTACTAAATAGGACTGCATTTAAATTCTTCAAATGTACTGCTAGCTCTTTGTGTCTCCCGTTTTGTTTTTATTTAAAGAAATGGCAGAACTCCCTTGATTACTTCCTTGGGAAAACCACTGAAATTCATGGAGTCACCATAAGTCAACAGGTGACCTCAAGGTGCACACACATAGGGAAATAATTATAAGAGCTAAATGTATCTCTTATGCTAATAGAAAACAGTTCTGTCATCTATAAGAATTCATTAATTCAGTTCAAGAATGAGCTGTTGACATGACAGGTTATGCTATATTTCAGAAACCAGATTTAGCAAAAATCAATTTCTGTCTAACAACTGGGCTGAGGAGAAAGCCTCTCATAGCAAAACGGCTTTACTTATAGTTAAAGAGGTTTTTAAATTAGTACTGTCTGGTGCTTTAATTAAAAGACTTGAAATAAACTTTTATTATCACAAAGAGGTATCTGTTACTCGCCCTAAGTTGTCAAGAGTAATAATGTTTTTCCATTACTGCTACGTGCTCAAATTGCTATAATGTAATGTTTTCTTTATTATGCCAGAGAAAAATAGACAGTGTAAGGCATAAAATGCTCTTCATCACCACATGTAGCTTATTTACTGAAATGCTAAATGTATATCTTGTGATATACCATTTATTTTTATGGTGGAGAACAAATTAAATATTGAAAAAAATGCATTGCTACATTAAAGTAAGAGCCGACTTGGTTCCTTAAAGTAATAAGCTGTCTTAAAGAAGAGTAATGTACTTTGATTTGTTTTTTTTGTGTGTGTTTTTTAAAAGAAGGTTAGCACAGTTTAGTGAGATTACAGCATAATGGCAAGTTTAAAATGGTGCATGCAGTGAAGATATTTTGTAATAAAAACAGAACTTTTAATTATAAACTTTTTAAAGGTACTGATTCAGCATAAAGTCTGTTAACCAATTATTACAGGACTGAATAGGGTCCCATTGATGTGGTCACACACAGTAGTGCTTCCACTTCCATGATTTTTAAAATAAGCTGTTATTCTAACCAAGATAATTCCTCTGGAGGAATCTCTAGGTCCTGTAGCACAACTATGTGGTCAACCTCCATTTGGGAGTTAAACCCACAAATGTGAAGGACTGACTGTACCTTTGCCATTCTGTAACGTAGCCATGATTAACACTCTTTGAAAAAAGACTAAATCTGCATAAATATGTGCCTTCAAAAAGGAGCAGGTGCAGGTTTTCAATTTGTAGGTTTTGCTCTGCTTCCTCCAGTTCTCATTCTTGTGTGTACCTTCTGTGGAACCTGGCCTTTTCCTTCCATTTCTGTGTAGACCATATATGTTGTATTCCTCATGCTTTATTTCCTGGCACATTAACTGCTTGACCATTTGTTCAGTGTTGTATTTCATTTCCCTATGTTTTAATCTTGAATGCAGTAAGACTGCCATAATGACAGAACCCATATCCACAGTTTCACTTCCCTACAACCGGAGGGAGGAAAAGTATCTCTGAGAATTTGCTAAATCTTCAATGTGATTATATGGCATGCTTTCAATGGTACTATAAAATCGTGCTGAAGGATCTTGCAGATTCCTAGAGAGGATGCTTATGGTATGCTGGGGCTGTAAGTCAGGAAAATTAATGGTGTTCAGTCATATCCGTGGTTTCAGGTAACCACGGTCCAGCCAGGAACATGTTCCCCGTGGATACAGAGGTCTTACTGTAATTGCTTTGAGAAGATAAAAAGTGCTCTATGAGGCAGCTGGGCCAGTGGTTCCCAACCTTTGGGTCTCCAGGTGTTTTGAACTTCAACTCACAGAATCCCCAACCATCTTACCAGCTGTTAATAACACTGTAATAATAACACTTTATTTATATTCTGCCCTTCTCACCCTGAAGGGGACTCAAGGCACATCACAGTACACATACACAGCAAACATTCAATGCTGTTTTTTGGACGGGACAAAGACAGACAGAACAGTTGAACATCCAACTTGTTGGCACCTTTGAAAGTTGCCAGCCACCGGGGGGGGGGGGGGGGGGGGATGCTGTTGCTCCATCCTCTATGACGAAGAGCCATCAGGACTTCCTCCTTCCTTTTGGTCACCGGCATTCTTTGATCTTTTTCTTTATGGTGTCATAAAATACCTCCCCTGCATTAGCGGTACCTAATTTCTCTAATCACAGCTGTAAGCTGTTTTTGAACTGCTTAGGCAAACAGTGAGCAGGGCTGACAGTCAGGTGCTCACACTGACCTGGAGCTTCGAACTTGCAACCTTTTGGTTGGTAGACCTTATCATTGCTAGTGATTTACCAGCTGTGCTAAAGCCCTGACTTTGTGGGAGTTGAAGTCCAGAACACATGGAGGCCCAAAGGTTGGGATCCACTGTGTGTGTGAAGTGGACCTATACAGACCTATAGTTTTGAAATGATGTGCCTCTCTATGTTCTCCCACATGTCAAATCCTATACAGGCAGCACACTGTACCCAGTCTCTGCCCCTTAGAAAGATGAGAATCTTGTCTCCTGCTGGTTTGTAAGGGAAAAATTAGCATACTCCAAATGAAGATGTATAGTGAGTAAGAAATTGTAAGGTGCTTAAATCAGGGTTATTATTGAACGTCCCATTCGTCTTAGTAAACTGATTGGTAAAATGCTTGAGTAGCTAGCTTTAGCTAAGGTTAATGCATTTTTGTTTAACCTTTCCAGTTTTCCTTCCTACTTTTAAATATTATTGTAATCATGACTGGATATGATATTGCTGAAAGGCATTGTAACAAAGGAGAGCAGACTAGAATAACTCCCAAGAGAAAACTTGAAATGGAAGTTTTGTTTTATCATTAACTTCATATCAACATAAATCATTTAGCACACAGCCATATCTCTAGCATGCTAATTTATATTTGCTTTTTAAGATTTACATTCTTTCATAGGAGCTTGAAAAGAAGGCCTGCTCAATATAGTGAGGCTAACATCAGAATAGATATCGATAGGATTGCTATGTTAGAGTAATACAGCATGACCTCTATCTGTGGGACTAGTGTCCCATTTCTTCATTTTACCCATTTCTCACACAACATGGCCTTTCTAGACATTTTCTAGGTCCTCCCATGGGTCTGCGTAGTATTCTCAGACTGGATGTCTTTAATTTCAATAGGATTTACTATTATCAGCGTGAAGCAGCTGAACAAGGCAGAAGGTCTGGGGTATCATAAAAAGGCAGAAATATTGCTAGTTACTATTTTACTCCTTAGATACCAACATCATGCGATTGGCTTTGGATAAAATGAATCAAAACATTACAGAGGGGAAGCATTTCAGCTGCTCTTTCTTTCTGTGGAATTCTTTACCAAATTGGGGATAGCTCATTCTAATAGATGTTTGTGGCATTAACCTGGTTTCACATCACATCGGCTTATACACAGAAAGGCTCTGTGTTTGTTTTTAATCATCACCTTTTGCTCCAGTGGATGGACTGAACCATATTTTTGATTTTGCTACACCTGTTAGTCTAGTTTTGTGTGTTCAAACTGTTATTTGCCTAGGTTGTTGTGAATTTTCCAGGCTGTTTGTTGCTTAGCTTATATTCATTAGTTTAAGTCTAAATGGTACATGCTCTTTTTGGATGCCAGCTATTGCATGTGTTTGTGTGTGCCTTCAGTGTATCTGTTATGGCAACCCTATGAATTTCATAGAGTTTTCTTAGATAAGGATTGTTCAGAGGTGTTTTTCCCCAGCTCCTTCCTCTGAAATGTTGTCTTCAACACACAGTATTCATTGACAGTTCTCATCCAATTACTAATCAGGACTGACCCTGCTTTGGTGGGATCTGGTGCCTTTGGGATATTTATAGATATATTAATATAAGAAACATATATTCAGTTCTTTCAGATGCAAATCAGCACACCTGCCAGACGGAAAACACAGAAACTGGAAACATTTGCAACAGTAAGTGTTTCCATTTTCCTGTATTTGACTGTTAAAAGGTAAATGTTTTCCCTTGATGTTAAGTCTACTTGTGTTCAACTCCGGGAGGTGGTGTTCATCTCCCTTTCTAAGCCGAAGAGCCAGCATTGTCCATAGACACCTCCAGGGTCATGTGGCCAGCATAACTGCATGGAGCACCGTTACCTTCTCTCAGAAGTGGAACCTATTGATCTACGTACATTTGGATGTTTTCAAATTGCTAGGTTGACAGAAGCTGGGGCTAATAGTGGGACCTCACCCCACTCCCAGGATTTGAACCGCTGACCTTTTGCTCAGCAAGTTCAGCAGATCAGCAGTTTAATCTGCTGCATCAATGGGAGCTCCACTACATTTATGAAAATGATCTGATGATTCAACACTTGTTATAGTTCTGTTATACAACCAAACACACACACAAATTGTTTTCTGTTTCTAAAATAAACCCTAGTTGACTATGTTAAGATGTCACTATAAGTCAGCTTTTAAAAATGACATTTGAGGAAAGAACTGTGGTTGACTGTGTTTAGTTGTTCCTGTCAGTTGTAACTTCAATTGATTTCAAATTCATCTGTTCCTAACAGAGACTACTGTTCCTCCCTGCCTATACCAATTTATTAAATACTATCTTTCATCCTTACTGTATAATATCATGTCTAATCCACGTACTTAACATTGTTTGCAAAAGATCATACTATCAGCTGCTACGTGCTGATAATAGTGAATTGCTTGCTGCTTGTTGCTAGAATACTGTTATATATTCATTTATTAATATTATGGGTTGCCTTACTTATAGGACTCTCTGTTTCTTTTGTTGTTAGATAAATTGCCTCCCTCACGGCTTCCACTTCCTTTACCGCCCCCTCCAAGCACACCGGACATTGTGGCAGAGTGGCAGGATGGCAGCATTTTCTTAAGATGCACCTTTGATGTTCCGACTGCAAACATCTCCATGGGCTTTCTTGTGGCTTGGTCCAGACTGTCTCCTGAAGGCATCAAAGAAGAACTGAAACAAGAGACGACCGTTCAGGCATTCTCGCTTTTAGAACTGGATGGGATAAACCTCAGACTGGGAGACAGGGTATGTTTAAGTGTCATGGAGCTATTTTCTACTTCCACAAATAAATAATAATCAATACCACCTAGTAATTACAAGTACAAAGAGTTAATCCCTATCCATGAAAGGATCTGCAGCAAACTATGAAAAGCTGAAGGCACATATATTTTAAGTGTAGCCCTCTTAGAAAAAAAAGCACAATCATTATTTCTCATGTTGTTGTTGTTGTACCACAGATTTCCAATGACTTAGAAGATCATCCATCATAATCATAGTGCGTGGATGAAGATGGTTGATTTGGTATCTCTCTAAATTCTAGATTTGGTTTAAAAAAGGAAGAGAGAAGGAGGAGGAGGAAAAATGTGGCAGTACCATAAAGACTATTTGGATTTTTCCCCATTTTCCAGTTATTATAGAAGCAATGATGCCACCTTCCTCTCCCCTAACCTGCCACCTTCTTCCTTTGTGCCACAAGAGACTAACATGGCTACTTCTTGAAAACTAGAGTTTGCATATTAATCTCTTGTTGAATGGTGGCAATACCATTTTTAATGGCTCTGAACAAACTTATAATTTTTTCTTCTCCTTGGCCTTTTGGCTAAGATCAAGTGTGTGATTATAATTTCAGTCTCCAGAAAAACTGTCCAAAAACATATTAGAGATGGTTGAAGTATAATCTACAACTTGAGATCCAGGGACCTCATCACATTAGGAAATAGTTAGTTTCTATCAGTATGCATTCCATAGTTTTTTCTGACTGAATGCATACTAAACCCCATCCTACCCAAATACTATGAGTGTGCAAAAGGGCAGAAATTGGTTCTGTTTTCGTTCTGTTTTTGTTTCGAATCTCAGGTTCCCCCCTCCCCCACCATTTTGTTTCCAGGAAGATTCGGGACCTTAGGAGGGGGACCATTCGTATTCATAATTCAGGGTCCAAAGTTTTGTTTCTGTTTTGGGAAGAATTTCCCCAAAAACAGAATTTGGGGGGGGGGGGGCAGACAGGGACCTACAATTTGAAATGAAAACAGAACTGACTTCTGCTGTTTCACACACTCCTATCAAACACTATTGTTCTTACCTTCAGAACATGCTGTGCTTTGTACCATCACACCTCAGAATGCTGGTTTCTCCTAACCATTCCAAAAAGTCCCTATGCCACTCTGTGACTTTTTTAAAAAAAATCTGAGCAGTGATGTAGCCCCCAAGTCTTGAACTACCACTCTTACAAGATATTAAGATGTACTCGCATTTTTGCAGAAAATGCATTTGCCTGATCGCTATATTTTGGCACAAAATACAGTTCGTGCCAAAATTCTGAGAAATTTAATCTTATTGGATTTCTAAACGAGAAGATGATTGATTCATTAAGTATGGCTACAAGAAGCACTGCCTGCATTCCAAGCAAAAAGTGGGTGCTAGAAACAATATCATATGAAAGCTGACTGGCACAACCTGGGGGTCACAACCAGATACAGTGAAGACATCTGCCCTTGTGTTTTGCGACTCTGCTGCTGAGAATGCATGCCCAGTGTGGAATACGTCTTACAATACTAAAACAGTGGGTGTGGCTCTTTAATGAGACATCCTGTATTACCACAGACTGTTTGCGCCCTACACCACTGGAGAAATTACACTGTCTAGCTGGTATCACACCACCTGACATCCGCCATGAAGTAGTAGCCAATGAAAAGGACCAAGGCAGTGACATCTTGGGCACATCCCCTGTTCGGATATTAGCCAGCACGCCAATGCCTTAAATCAATAAATAGTTTTCTAAGATCTATAGAGATACTTGCAGGAACACCTCAGCAAGCAAGAGTTCAAAAGTGGCAGGATAAACCCCAGCACCTCAGTCCATGGCTGATACCAAACAAGAGACTCCCTCCTGGGCACACTTGGAAGACGTTGAACAGTTTTCTGTTCCTTTTTTATTCACTTTGGAATTCCACCTTAATGGTTGACTCACATTTATAACCACCAGTTTAAGCATTATCTAGAAAGGAAATTTTGTCTTTTGTCTTAAATTTGTTCTTTGAGATTGGCATGGGTACTGAGACTTGATTTCATACCAGATTTATCACTTGGCTGTTGGACTAGTTAAGAAGAGTACTCAGCCACAATCAGTTTTTGATATTATTATGATCCAAAATAATTTTGTTTTAACATAATATTATCTTGTTTCTTTAATAGATTTACTGCAGCAGTTCTACTTTTTCATTAGAAAGACCAGAGTTGCAAAGTTCTGTCATTGACAGCATTGAATTTTTTGCAGGAATTAAGGTACAGTTACAGCAATTTAAAATATTCTTAAGTCATAGTAAGCTGTGTTGTCAAAGGCTTTCGTGGCCATAAACACTGGGTTGCTGCAAGTTTTCCAGGCTGTATGGCCATGTCCTAGAAGTATTCTCTCCTGACATTTCACTCACATCTATGGCAGGCATCTTCAAAGGTTGAGGGGTCTGCTGGAAACTAGGCAAGTGAGGTTTAAGTGTGGAATGTCCAGGGTGGGAGAGAGAACACTTGTCTGCTTGAGGAAAGTGTGAATGTTGCAATTGGCCATCTTTATTAGCATTTAATCACAGACTACTTCAACCAGAGAAGTCAGCCATAGCAGAGCACCTGATGAACCAACCTGGACACAGCATATTATTTGAGAACACAGAAATGCTAGACCACTCTAACAACTACCATATCAGACTACACAGGGAAGCCACTGAAATCCACAAGCAAGTGGACAATTTCAACAGAAAAGAGAAACCATAAAAATGAACAAAATCTGGGCTAGCAGTATTTAAAAAAACACTCTAAAATTGGGACAGTAAATAATTCTAAAAAAAATAATCAGGGGAATTCCGTAGAAGAATCAGTCAGGGCCAGCTAACACCTTCCAACAAAGGATTCCCCTAGGCAGCAATCAGCCAGGCTTTGAAGCTGCAAGGCCATTAAATTCTAATCAAGGTGGCTAATTGCAACAATCACACCTGCCTTAAGCAGACACCCTGGATGATCCACAGATATATAAACCTCACTTGCCTAGTTTCCAATAGACCCCTCAACCTCTGAGGATGCCTGCTATAGATGTGGGCAAAATGTCAGGAAAGAATGCTTCTGGAACATGGCCATACGGCGGAAAACTCAAAGTAACTCATAATAATCTGTTTTTCTTCAAAAATTTTAGAAAGTAGTACTGCAGTTTTTGCCAAGTAATATTTTTTCTGTATAGTAATAGTATGTGCCATTAGCAAATGATAGTTCTCCAAGTACCTGCAAATCTGTCTGAGATTTATCCAGAGGCAAAAAGCAATCCTAGGCTCTAATACTGCTGGTCTTCAGATGAGCTAAGATGGAGCCTCTATGCCTTCCTGTCACACTAGATTTGAAGAAAACAGCGTCTTTCTGCCCATTTTTATTTTCGGTGTTTTCTGTAGACTGAAGGGTCCTGATGGCAGAGAGTAAAGGTATACCTCACTTAACAAAATCGATGCAACTCTACAAATTCAACAGAAATAACATGGCAAGTGTAGAAATAGGTCCCCTCCATTCCCCAAAAAAGCACTCCCACCATGTTCCAGGAAACTTTTTATTCAAAACTAACTATATGCACACGTGAACGGAAACAACCACGTTAAATAGATCTTGGATAAGTAAACAGCAAAACAAGTTGACCCTCCTAGAGACCACTTCCATAATGCATCCAGGGATGCCTCTTTTAAAAATCAGTTTCCACTTTTCTTAAGATTTTGATTTTTGTTGTCACGATTACATATCTGTGCTTTTAAAACATGCTAGAACCAGTACGGTGTAGGTGTTTGAATGTTGGACCATGACTTGGAAGACCAGACTTTCTTCTCCTCCTGATATCACAGGCCAAGTGTATGTATTTAACTGGTTTCTGTTTAGAGACTCTTTGGGGGAAATGGTTTGATTTACTTTTGTACTGGCTCATCTAGTTTTGCTAGATTGCAGGAATTAATTGTAAAGGATATTTTGTTCCTATATATTCCTTTACATATTGTTCGTACATTATTATACTGCTTGAACAAGGAGATAATTCCATATATTGTTGGCTTTCTGTCTTTAAAAAAAGCTCCATCCTGAGGCATTTATTATATCAGAAGATGAGAAGGAGTATAAGCTAACAATAGAGAGCAAAATTCCCATTCCTTGTCCTCAAGCTAGTCAACTGGAAAATGACTGTAAAATCTCATTAAAATTGAAGACAGTAGAAGAAGGTAATTTCCGCTTTGTTCTCCTTCCATACTTTTGTCTTTAATTTGTTCTTCTAAATAGCATGTAGGTTCAGCATTATTATGTGGCAAAATACATAATTTGAATCCATACCTTTGTATAAATAGTGTGGGCAACCACATGGAATGTATTAACTAATTTTCTATCTCTCTTTTCCAACCACTTACCCAGCTGCCATATTTTCCATCTGCTTCCTTTTCAAAATGGCAACTGAAAATGACCATGCCATTTTGAAAGAAAAAAAAGAGGTTAGAGATGGTGTGGGGTTTTGGTATGTTTGGGTGGACCTGATTGATCCCATAGTGTGTTTATGGGTATCAGAGACAGTGATAGGAGCCCTCAGTGGTGCAATGGATTAAACCCTTGTGCTGGCACAACTGAAGACCAAAAGGTCAGAGGTTCGAATCCGGAGAAAGCATGGATGAGCTCCCTCTGTCAGCTCCAGCTCCCCATTCGGGGATGTGAGAGAAGCCTCCCACAAGGATGGTAAAACATCAAAACATCCCGGCATCCCCTGGGCAACGTCCTTGCAGATGCCAATTCTCTCACACCAGAAGTGACTTGCAGTTTCTCAAGTTGCTCCTGACACAAAAAAGAGAGAGAAAGACAGTGATTGAGGTCACTGTAATACAAAGAGGAGCCCTTTGAGTAAAGCTCCTCTTAAAAGGTTGGGTATTTTTAATTATTATTATTACTACTGCTTAATGAAATAGGAATCACACCGCTGCCTGCTGCAACATACTTTTTGTGCTTGTCTCTGTGAAAGTTACAAGACCCTACCTGCTCTTGAGTATAAAGTACTTAATTCTTGGTTGCAAAAGCCAACTTTGAAGTATTTGCGGCCAGCTGCTTAGAAAGAAAGGGGGATGTTATTTTATTTATATGCTACCTTTCTCCCAAACTGGGGCCCAGATAAAATTAGTTAGAACAATAAAATTACAAACAAAACAAAACAAAATTAAAAACAGTGTGAAGTTGTTAGGAAAAAAAGATGCAAAAGTTAAAAACGTAAAACAACAGAGAAGGCACCTCATTGCCCTCCCTGAGAGTAATTACATATTAAAGGCCCACTTGAAAAGAAATGCCTTCGCCTTTTGGGATTCCTTAACAGAAATTTAAATAAACAGTTCTATCAGCAGTTTTGAAGTAAGATGAAACTTTCATGCTGGTCAACCTCTGTAGATAGAACGGGAAAGAGTCACTATTTTGATCTTTTGCTCAGGCAACAACAAAAAAGACTCGGGCCAATGTCTGTTGACTTTTAACCTTACAATTTGTTTGTATTTTCCTTTGTTTTGTTTTTCTCAAGCTGTCTTAGATTAGACCTTTTAGTAATTTTATAAATCTGTATGTGATCTCTTCAAAGAAGCATGACTCATAATGTATCTCTGTTGGAATAGATAAAGATCTGGAGGTCTTAAATGTGGCTCTGTCTTCGTGCCATGTGGATCTTCTGCAACAACCCTGTCTCAATGGAACATGTAGCCAAGCCAGCATCCATTATACTGCTGTGAGTGACTTCGTCCAAGATGGCAACAGAAGAACCAAGATTGTGGTGGAGCCTATCATCAGTGACAACTTTGTGTGGAATGGCTATGTGCCAGAAAGTGTTCAGGTGACAACCCATCTCCTTCAGTCTCGATAACAGAAAAGGAAAGAACTGTGGAAACACTAATAGAAGTTGGCAATACTTTCCACATTCAGCAACTAGCTTATACCTTATACTTCTTCCATGCTGAAACAAGCTAACGTACTGGGAAGTTCCCAGACAATTTTCCATGTAGTTGTTGATCAGACTCAAACTTAACTTCAGCAGAGTGGCTTCATAAGGAACCTATGTACAGATTGTCTTCTTGCCCCATGCATGCAAGAATGAATGAATGAATGAATGAAAGTCAAATGGATAGACAGGCAGAGGCATACACATACAAGTTATCCAAAATACTTGGGATACTTCAGGGTTTTCTGGGATGAAGGGTTGGATTCTGAAATACCAATTGTTGCATTTACATATGTTGTGAGATATCTTGAAGGTACAACCCAAATCTAAATACAAAATCCATGTATGTTCCATATACACCTCTCTCACACACACATAGTCTGAAGGTAATTTTATCTAATATGTTTAACAATTTTGTGCATTAAGTGAGGTTTGTGTACATTGAACCATCAGAGAGCAAAGAGGACTATTTTGAATTTTGGAATGCTTTTGATTTTGGAATTTCAGATAACAGACACGTAATCTCTCTCTGTGTGTACACAAAAACATATACATACTCACATACATACAGTAAGGCTTCTGGAACTACGAAACCAATATCCAGAGTTTCATATACCTGTGCCTGAGGAAAATTACCTCTTCAGCAATCTCTACATCCTTGAATACAGTTGTATCATATGTCAGGACCGAACATACTGATATTAATGGCATTAGATATCCTTGGTTTCAGGCAACTGGGCCTTGCTGTGTATTTATTTGTATATAGAGCATAGTATTCCCCTAGGGAGTTTGCGGGCTGAAAGAGGATTGTCAATCGTTTAAATAAATGTAACAATAATGTTTAAACCAATTACTGAGAGTAATCATTTGCAATAATGTTTCTAATTTGTGGCATATTTTGCTGTCATTGTCATGCTTGGCTTTTCCTGTACAACTGGGGGTGATGACTGCTAGAAGTTCCATTAAGGGAAAAGGACAGATGAAAAAGTTACTTCTTTCAATATTTCACTTTGAGTGCTATTTTAAATAAGGAATTGGGAATGTCAGTTTTGCGAGACTCCAGCAACTGGGATCATTTTATGTGCCCTGATTTAAACTATGTATACTTCACATACTAATCTATGGTTATGGGAAGAGAACGGGGGAAATTATCATATATACTCATATATAAGTTGAGGGCAGGTTTTGGACCAAAATTATGAATTTTGATATGAATCCTGTTTAAGTCAAGGAATAGTCCCTTTTAAAAATAAATGTTAATGTACAGTAACTCTTATATTAAAAAAAAAATCTTCTTCGAACAGAGTGATAAAAGGTGAGAACCAGTCCATCCCAGGAGAACCTAAAAGAAACAACGAACCCTTCTCTTACTCTTGACACTCCTTTAAAGGAAAGTGTCAAAGAGCCACTGTCACTACCATTTTCCCATGCAATCATTCAGAAAAGCCACAAGTGGAAATGCAGTGAAAAGAGTAGCTGTGGTTGATCTTTTTTTAAGGTATCCTGAGATAGACTAAGCTTTTGCCTTTCACTACTCTACTTGGAGAAAGACATGGTTCCTTTTTTGCTAAGAGTTGGGAAACAGACATTATACTGACACAAAGATAAGTCAACCCACGTTCCTTGGGTTTATTTTGTGACTAAAATTTCTAGACTTATACATGAGTATATACGGCCCTTCTTTGAATGACCATTCCCAGAATCTTCAAACCAGCATGAGGTCAGTAATATTTTGGCAGAAGAGTTCTAGAAGTTTTAGGACAAGGATCTAAAGGATTTTACATTAGAAGATTTGCCACAATCACTTTCTGTGAATATCTTCTCTTTTCTCCCAAAGGTTACTGTGAAGGACCTTCCCTTTTCATACTGCTATTCTTTTACTGACCCACATATAATTACCTTTGATGGCAGGTAATCAACATATTTCCTACTGTGATGTGTTTTTCTTTTTTTAAAAAATGTACGGCTTTGTGCCAACTCTATTAAAATGTTGTTTTATCTGTTTAGTGGATGTATTGTCGAAGGCTTTCATGGCCAGAAAACCTGGGTTGTTGTAGGCTTTTTGAGCTATGTGGCCATGTTCTAGAAGCATGTTCTCTTGATGTTTCACCTGCATCTATGGCGGGCATCCTCACAGGTTGGGCCATACAGCCCAAAAAACCTACAACAATCTACTGTTTAGTGGATACTAGAATGAAAGTTTTCCTTTCGCAGTGGTTTCATTAGTGGTGATGGCTTTTATATTTCTGAAGAAAAACTGTTCACTTTAGGTTCTTGTGGGTTTTTTCGGGCTATAGGGCCATGTTTTAGAGGCATTTCTCCTGACGTTTCGCCTGCATCTATGGCAAGCATCCTCAGAGGTAGTGAGGTCTGTTGGAATTAGGAAAATGGGTTTATATATCTGTGGAATGGCTGGGGTGGGGCAAAGAGCTCTTCTCTGCTGGAGCTAGGTGTGAATGTTTCAACTGACCACCTTCATTAGCATTTGAAGGCCTGGCTGAGCCTGGGAAAGCCTCCTCTCAGTTTCCAACTCAGATGTGCAAAAGTTAAATCCACAGATGTGGAGGGTGGGTTTATTTTGTGAAATTGAAATGAACAAAATATCAGAGACAAGTGAGACCCAATAGCAAATCATGGGTAATTTGGCCCTATGATTTTGTAGAGGGAGGTTAAAATCTTGCTCATCCTTACCATAAAATAAGTTCCATTATATTCAGGGGAGACTGTCTGAATATGCATAGAATTAGGAATGGTAAAGATGACAATGTGGCACAAATTTGCAGATAGTTAAAACAAAGCTTTTAAAATAAAATTATGATTATTTCAAAATTAAAAATAATGTTCTACTTTTTCTTCCTTCCAGGATGTATGACAATTTTAAAACAGGAACATTTGTACTCTACAGAAGTACTTCCCGTGATTTTGAAGTCCATGTGCGCCAGTGGGACTGTGGAAGCCTTTATTACCCAGCATCATGTAACTGTGGGTTTGTTGCCAGAGAAGGGGCTGATACTGTAGCATTTGACATGTGCAGTGGACAGCTACATCATTCACAGCCACACTTATCTGTAAAAAGCAGAGACCCGGCAAACAGCAATGTCAGAATCACTGAATCATATTTAGGAAGAAAAGTCACGGTGTGTAATTGGTTTTATATCTGTTTTAGTTATTTGGTTCAGGAAAAGTTTTGGCTTCCTCTTCCACATATAAAATCTGCATTTGGACCTGAGCTTGGAAAACAATTTTGGCAACAACTCTCAGGATTCCTCAGCAAGCTAGTTGGGGGGATTCTGGGGTTGAAGACCAAAACAAAACAATTTTCCAAGCTCTGATTTGGGCATAAGAATAAATTTTGGTTCATCATTACAAAAAGAAATGTAGGCAAACTCATGTACTCCTGCCTCTTCTTGTCATTTTGTTGTTTGTGGTGGCCATGAGGAGACAGTGGAATATCTACACTGTAGAATTAATGCTGTTTGATACTACATTAACTGTTATGGAATCATGAGAGTTGAAGTTTTACAAGTCTTTAGCCTTCTTTGTCAAAGTATACTGCCTCCTCATCAAATTATAAATCCTATGATTCCATAGCAATCAGCCACTGCACTTAAAGTGACATCAAACTGAATTAATTGTATAGTGCAGATGCACCCAGAAAGTCTTAACTGTGGTTTGCTGAAGAGAGTCAGTGAGATGCTGTGGTTTGAACACTGGATGATGACTCTGGAGACCAGGTTTGAAATCTCCGCTTGGCCATGGAAACCCACTGAGAGGCCAATAAATCCCAATCTCTCAGCCTCAGAGAAAGGCAATGGCAAACCTCATTTTAATAAATTTTGGTGATTGGTTTGTCTTATGGTTGTCAAAAACTTGATATGAGTTGATGATATGCAGCAATAACATACCATATATACTCAAGTATAAGCTGACCCGAATATAAGTCAAGGCACCTAATTTTGCCACAAAAAAATGCAAAAACGTATTGACTCGAGTATAAGCCGAGGGTGAGAAATGCAGCAGCTACTGGTAAATTTCAAAATTAAAATAGATACTAATAAAATTACATCAATTGAGGCATCAGTAGATTAAATGTTTTTGAATATACATAAAGCTGTAATTCACGATAAGAATGTTCAACTTTGATTAAGCCATTATTCTAACCTTCTTCAAGTAAATTCCAATAATAATAGAATAATAGAGTAAAATAATGGGAATGTAATAATAACAGTAATGATACAGCAAAATCATAAATGTAATAATAATAGAGAAAAATAATAAATGTAATAAAAATAATAAAAAAGCTTGACTCGAGTATAAGCTAAGGGTGGCTTTTTCAGTATAAAAAAGGGCTGAAAAACTCAGTTTATACTCGAGTATATATGGTAGTTTGCTAAATAAGACAATCCTAATTTATGACACTACTTTCTTTCAATAAAGCATGGTATTAACTGTTTTAAAGTATTAGGTTATACAGCAAGTCTCTTAATTATGGTAAATGAAAAAAAAAAGAAAAAATCTAATTTCATTTCAAAGCTTGACAAAAGTGGAACTGGGAATGATCAAGTTACATGTTTATTCATGTAACAATAAGCCATCATTTTTTAGTCATGGTCATGTCTACATTAATTTCTGAAGCAAAATGACTTCCATTGCATTCTCTAGCAAAATGATCTTCTCCCTTTATCACTTTATAACTTTTTTAATGTGCTTCAAGTTGAAAATTATAAAGTAGCATGAAATAAGTTCAAGCAATGAGTTACAACATTAAGGGAAATTTGCAAGTGCTCATTTTAGACTAAAAAATAGGAGATGGTGCAATCTACACCTTATACCATTTCCTGCCCCTGATTTTTCTCCTTCCTTTTATTTTATCTGAACCTCATTAAAAAGACACTAGCCACCTCCAATTAGTTAAAACATATCATAATGTCTCTAATGTTGGCCATTAGCCTGCCACAGTTCCTTCCTTATCAGACCTTTTCTTGTAAAAGCTCATATTGCACATATCATCCATTTTCGATAGATAAAGCTGTATGTTATTCTTTAGGAAGGGGAAGTAGTCTTTTCCTGATTTCAGATAATTGCCTGAGCTTCCTGGGACGAAACTAGATGTTACAATAAGCATAGCATTAACCTTGTATATTTTAAAGCTGGAGTAGAGAGGAAAGCAACTGTGAAGGGAAAAGACACACATTTGGGCCACAGTCCAGTTTAGAGTGTGCTTGCACATCCCCTGTACTATTTTCCTTTTATATTCCATTTACCCACAAAGAGGTCAGCACAGCAATTGTTACTCTCAAGGACATGATTTTTGGAAGGAAAAAGGCTCAAAGGGAAATGGAAGTCTATGCTTCTCCTGCCCTCCTCCACCATTCTCCCAATGCTGATGCTCCTAAAAAAAAACTTCCAACTAGAGGAGGAAAGAGAGGAGGCTGGATGAAATAAAAAGACTTCATAAAAAGGAATTTTACTAGCAGAATCTTTGTTAACTGTGGCATACCTATACCACTCAATGATCCCTTATATTGTTGAATATATCCAACCAGGTGTTTCATCCTACAAGGACAAACCACTTAAGGTAGAGCAAGTTTTCTATAGGCTTGTGCAATGCGGGTAAAGCTTGACCCATTTTGTGTCCATTTTTTGGGAGCCTCCCAAAATCGGGAGGGTAGATATGTGTTTTTGCTCTGGAGTGCTGAAAGATCCATTTTCTATCAGTTCATTATGAGTTGGGGGTGCTCCCATTCCTATCATTTCAGGCATTTAGGCTCTATTCTAGAGGACAGATGCACAGCTACAGGCAGGTGTGTGCTTTAAGGAGGCTTCTTACCTGTTTCCCACTCTAGAGGAGATGCTCAGCTGCAGGCAAGTGCATGCGTTTTCTGGGCCTGCATGGAACATGTACTTTCCAGGGCAAGGAGGCAAGTTTACTCCAGAGGAGGTGCTCAGTTTCAGGCAGGATGCATGCTTTCTCGGCCTGCTTGCCACATGCACTTTCCAAGCCAAGGAGGCAAGTTTACTCCAGAGGAGGCACACAGCTGCAGACAGACACGCCCGCCTTCTGACTTGCATGCCACACACACTTTTCAAGGCACGGAGGCAAGTTCTCTTATTCCAGTTGCAGGCAGGTGTACATGCTTTTTGGGCCTGCACACCAAATGCACTTTCCAAGGCAAGGAGGCAAGTTTTCTTACTGCAGAGGAGGCACATGTCTGCAGTCAGTCACATGCACTTTCTGGGCCTGCATGCCACACGTGCACTCCAAGGCAAGGAGGCTGCTCAGGAAAAGTAGACGAGGAGCCGGGATCGGCTCCCGCTTGCTTTTGTGTTGAACTGATTTTCATACTGGGAGGGGGCTTTCTGTTATGTGCTCCCGAAGGTTATGAAAGTAACAAAAAATGGATGTAATGAAGGAAAATGGAACCACACACAACTCTAGTTTTAAACCCTTTGGATGAGCTTTTGGGGGGGAGTTAGTCATCATGTCTGAAGAAACAGGGTCAGAGCTCTGTTCCTACGTAGTCTGCCCTCATGATCTGTTAGGCTGATGTTGAAATGCTTTTGAGCATGATCCTTGGTTTAAAAAGCCAAGCATCATGAAACGGTTTCTGTTAACAAGCCAAACATTTTTACTTATAGATGCTCAAGCAAGCAATTCTCAATAAGGTCAGTGATAAGTTGCTTCAAGATCCCAATCTTCCTACTTCAAAAAGGTAATGTCAGTAGCAAGAGAAGATGATTAAAAGGACAGTTTTATGTAGAACATGTGTCTTTTAAACACAATAGTACAGGAAAACTGAGAGAGTTTAAAATGGAAAGAGGATCAAAATGTTGATCTATATCATTTCCAAAACAGTCTTGAAATGGAGAGACTATTTTCAGTGAACTCGAAAAAAATTTTTCCTGTGGTCTTTGTGATGTTTTCTTTTTTAGGTTTTATTTTCCTCTGGAGCTTTTATTCGAGCTGATGTGAGTGAATGGGGAATGAGTCTAACTCTCAGAGCCCCTAGTTCTGACCATAAACACACATTGGGACTTTGTGGATCATTTGATGGTGTCGCAGAGAATGATTATCATGATGTGGATGGGAGAGAAATCGATAGAGGAGTGGATGCTCACCTGTCATTTATTAATGAGTGGAGGTAATAACAGCTTTACTAGTTCCACCAAGGTCTGTAGAAAACAGACATTGCAATCATCTGGGCAGACTGTTGGATTTAGACGACAATTACCCTGCTTGCAATTTTTCCATATATTTGTCCTACCAATCTGGAATACCTGGAAGGAACTTCTAGGCATCATAGTCCATCAGAAATTCATAGTTCAGAACCTACAACATTTCCAAGCACTGTGCAAAACTGTAGCTACAGAACCAGTTCTCCCCATTCTTCCCATATGACAACTGCTGATCTGGGTTATAGTCATCTTTGAGTTTTCCTGTTGTTTTTCCTTTCAGGATTTTGCCAGGGGAGAGCCTCTTTGACAAAGCCCCAGCTCCCTTAACAGTTGCCAAGAAAACACTTTTCTGTAGCTGTAGTGATGTTCAACTGGGAGTAGATCAGCCGAAGAATAAACTCAATTCTCTTTCTGAAGCAGTATTGCCTTTATCTTGCAAAATAAGTGAGAAGAATGTCTGGCTCCCTTCTTTGATTCCAGAACTGGATGTTACCATTGAGTATATTAGCTCAGCTGATCATATCAGGGACTTAAGGAAACGTGCAGCTGTGCTTAGAGAGGCCTCTTCCGCTGTCCCCTCCAAAAAGGATCACTCTTTTAATAAAACAACTCTTCAGAGAGCACCTCCATCATCCATAGTTAACTCTCCAAACTCAAAGGCAGGCTTTGTAACACATAAACCACCTCTTGGAAGTTTGATGTCTCACAGATATGATACTATTTATGATAACCAGCAGCACCGTACAAGAGAGCGTACAAAGCGCCAGCAATACTATGAATACCTTTCTGTATTTCCATCCCAGAGTTTAAGCCAAGCAGATCTGGACGGGCTAAGCTATTTCTTTCCAGAGGATCACACAACTGACACACATCAGGAGTTCTTGCCTTCATGGCCTACACCTTCTGGACTCACTGAATCTGATGTGCAAGATCTGTGTTGGCAGACAGTAGCCAATTCCAGCATAGTCACAGCTTGTAAAGCTTTTCTCAACCAACGGATGGAAGATGTAGTTTTGATGTGTGTCAAGGATCTACAATTGAAGGATGATCTCAGCTGGGCAAAGACCAGTTTGGCCCTGCTAGAAAATGAATGTGAAAGAAGAATTTTAGAAGAAATGAATAATCACACTGAAGAAAATGAGAGCTTAATGGAGAATGCAATCATAGCACTGAAATGCCCCAACTTTTGCAGCAGGAGAGGTCATTGTCTTGAATGGGGATGTGCTTGTTTTCCAGGCTTTAGTTCTTATGACTGTAGTGTGTCGTCTGGTGAGTTGAACCCTACAATTATTAGCTTTCTCTCTCTCTTGTGTTGGCACAATCTAATCTAAAGTAGTCAGTCCTGCTCTCTGTTCAGTGTCTGTCCTCTATCCCTTAAGTAAACTATGCATGTTACATGTCTGTCGTACTGGATTTAATCATTGATCAGTAGATCTCTAATCTTAACTTATACCCAAGGTATACAATTTTCCAACCTGGCTTCCATATGAAATGTAGCATGATGCCTTAATGTACTTCAACATGAACTGCTGACATTAATTTGTTCATTTGCCCAGATTATTAGCAATTCCAGATGGTGGATTTATTATTATTATTATTATTATTATTATTATTATTATTATTATTAGGTTGCTGTGAATTTTCCAGGCTGTATGGCCATGTTCCAGAAGTATTATCTCCTGATGTTTCGCCCACCTCTATGGCAGGCATCCTCAGAGGTTGTGAGGTTTCACACACAACCTCTGAGGATGCCTGCCATAGAGGTGGGAGAAATGTCAGGAGAGAATGCTTCTGGAACATGGCCATACAGACCGGAAAACTCACAACAACCCAGTGATTCTGGACATGAAAGCCTTCAACATATTATTATTATTATTATTATTATTATTATTATTATTATTTACACGCCTCTCCTCATGGCTTGAGGCATGGCACGTCACTACCAATTCAAACACATTGTGATACTATTCTGTATTTTCTTCCTAAAAAAAACAAGAGAAAGCATGGGAGGAAAACAAATGGAAGACGTTGCATCTGTAATGTGCTATTTTCTCCATTGTTGTCCACAATGCCTCTGTATATTTCTGTATTTAGCCCATGCATTAATTCAGCATGTTTCACTGTCTGATTTTCATTTCAAAGATCGGATTCCAGAAATTGTAGATATGGATCATGGAGGATTATGTGATGTCCGACAACATGACTGCACAACTGTAAGAGCTTTTGGACATGGATTCACAGAGACATCAAGCCTCAGATGTGAACTTAACAAGCTGCAGGTGACTTATGTAGTAAATCTAAGATTGAATCCTTATCGGTGTTAAGGTTTTAGGTACAATGCCCTTTTAAGCCATATTTCATCCATTTTCTCTCTGTACTCTGAAACCTGATGTCTTTTTTACCCTATTAAGGAAATTGGTGAACCAGTAAAAGGCTGTCAAAAGTAAAGATTTGAAACCCCTGTTGAGTTTGATCCTATATATGAAACCATTGCTCACTTTTGATGGATGGTTTTATTCACTCACACTAATGTCACAGTGCAATCCATGGGGCTCATCAGAGCCATCTTCTTTTTTTATAATAAAGTTTAAAATATCCTAGTGATATTCTACAGCTCAACTGGCCCATTTATGAATAATGACATGGTCCAAGACTGATTTATTGATAATGGTGGTGTTGTGTGTTCCTCTCTTAGTTGAATTACAATACATATTTGCCCACATCTTCATCGTTTTGTCACAACATCAATATAGGATGAAAGTCCCATATCCAAAATGCTTGGGACCAGAAATATTTGCCCTACAAGTCATTAACTCACTCTGGACTGCTATGGTAAAAATAATAATAATAACAATAATACAATATCTTTATTTATATCTCTAAATGAGACCCTAAATGGGACTCAAAGTAGCTCATAACATTTTAAAACAATGCAAATCAACTATACATAAACAATAAACAATAAAACCAACTTTACAATAAAACATAAACAAACATTTTAAAATCATTAAACAGATTCCAGATACCATTCTTGTGGGAACTCATCAGATGATAAACATTGCTCAACTCACTGAAAGTTAGCCTTCCTGTCATTCTGAATTAAATATCTTCATTAAAAGCTTGCTTAAACAGGGTCTTCAGCTGTTTTTTTTATGGTTTTCAAGGAAGGAGTTGTTTTAATCAGCTTTGAGATGGAGACGGCTTTGGTCACCATGGTAGATTATCTGTGTAGACAACTTGACAGGGAGAGTGTGTCCCTACTGGTTCCCTTAGACCTCTCAGTGGCCTTCAATATCATTGATGATAGTATCCATCTGGATCTCCTGGCTGGAATGGGATGCAGGGGCACTGTTTTGCAGTGGCTCTGCTCCTTCCTGGAAGGATGGACCCAGGTAGTGGTATTGGGGGATGCCTGCTTGACCTCACAGCCATTGTCCTGTGAGGTTCCACAGGGTTCAGTATTGTCACCATATCCTGAAACCAGACTGGAATGGAGTGTAGACTTTCAATATTGCATACTGTTGGGTTGTTCGTTGATTTCATTATGCTCCAGCATAGTGGTAACTGCATGGTAAGATGGATATAATATAGTTGATGTTAAGATGATTCAAATGTGTGAGTATGCTGGAAGGCATAATATATAAGTACATATTATCTATATCAAAATTCACGTGATGTTACTAGTTGGATATTAAAATTGCAAGTAATTATTAAATGAAGTGTTTTATTGAAAGAAAACTACTCAGGTTGGAGTATATGCACTGGATTAATTGTTCAATACTATAAACCCAGGGTTAATCAAGCGCAAACTAATATGTGGCCTCTGAATTTGAGCAAGAGGTATAGTTGGTGTATTTTTAATCCCTTGTGTATAAAAATATCACTCATGTGCAATATAAAACATTTCCTTTTCCAGGGAATCTCTTTTTTTCCCTCCTTGGCTGGTTCTGTCAGGTGCTGAGCTGAGGTTATTTTGGCGGGTTCTGTTACAGGTCAAGCTATGGATTTTCCTTGAGCACAACATGGATCCTCTCATCTGCAAGTCACTTTGAAATGAGACAGTCAACAGCACATTTACACTCCATTAAGTTAAAAGCCTGCCCGATCAAACTCCTAGTGAGACAATTATTAGGAGTTCACTTATCACAGTTTGAATTGTCTCACTCCTTGCTTATTGCAAGAAGTTTTGATTTGTTTTGTTGAAACAGCAAAACCGCTGGGCCTGTGTTTCCAAAAATGAAAGCTAAGAAAAGAGCTTACTGTAGTCCAGACTTATCTTTTTACTGAGCAAACAAAAAATACATGTAGCCTGGAAAGTCTAAGTAACTATTACTTTTCTCCCGTGAAAGAGCAGTTCCTTCTCCTTCTGCCAGTTGGTTCTGGCATACACCAACATCTTTGTGTTCCCTTAAATAACATAGTCTAATCTAATTAAAGTTTGCATCTTGTGTACAATTTCCAGGGGCATGTGCCATTGAACACAGTGTGACCTATTTTTGATTAAATATGCATAAAACCGTTGCACATCTCCATTTCCTCTCATAAAATGCAAACTGGAAAGTTTTCACAATGCCTGTCGAATAACATGTTTTTAAAATTGGATCTCCTTTTCCCTCAGGGCTCCATTTGATTTTTGTTTCACATCCATCCTAAAGAGTTCTAGGGACCTTTCTAATTCCTTACTGACATTTTTAGATTGTTCTAATGAAAGTGTTAGCTAGTAGAAAAGCCTGAATCAATTTACTTTAAATAAGCTATGAACCCATCTGATTGCAAATAGCTAACAGAGATAATTTATTTGCAGTATTTAAACTCGACCATTCCGCTTCCATGGTGGCATATATTCACAAAATCTCTTACTAAAATAAAAAAAACCCACTTAGTTCTAAAGATACTCCTAGATTTCTTCTTCTCCCTTTACCTTCTTTCTGCTTAGGGTGGTTTACAAATAATTAATTAGGCAGTTCCTTGCCCCTAAGTGTTACAGTCTAAGGACGTCATCATACATGGAAATTTCATAATCATAGGATGCTTTCACTGCAATTGAGCCATGGAGCCCCACGTCACCCATCAGATGATGTAAGCTCACTTTTGACAGGGCTCCATGGCTTGACCAGGGCTAAAGCATCCTATGACACTGCGCCGGCAACACAGGAGTCTCACTGTGTTCCAGTGAGATGAATGGAGCTGGTGCAGGGGGAAGCCATGCAGTGACAGTTCCCCACGTATGAGAAAATAGCATCACTGCCGGCAAGCTGCCCCACCAATTCACCATGGAAGCTGGAGAATTGGAATGAGGGGTCTCATCAATGTGATGAGGTCCTAAATGAGACATGGCATAAGAAAAGGGGATGGCAGAAGAGGCTGAGATGAAGTTCATCAGTTGCTAACTGGTGTTCTCAACCTCAGAGGCCAGGACCATAGAAGGGCCTCTCACCAGCCACTGGGCCAATGTATGAGTGACTGGCTGCTCTTCTCTCCCTTCAAGATTAGAATATTGGCAGTTGGAACATATAAAAGTAATTCATAAGAGTAAAGAAGGATGAAATCTGCACATGAACATGATTGCAGGAGACACCTTAACTGGTTTGATGACAAGCTAGATGTAAGGCAACTCTCATGTATAATAAATAATCATCATCTTTTATTTGTATCCCACCACCATCTCCCAGAGGGACTTGGGGTGGCTCATAAAACGCTCAAAGTGTAACAAGGTATAGCAAAATACAACAAGTGCTCAACAAAATATAAACAATAAAACAGTCAACATAACATGACAATTTCACTGTACCCTTTGTTTAAAACAATAAAATACAGTGAATGCCATAGGTAAAAATAGCAGTATAAGTTAATGTGGGATCTGTGATTTGCTCATTGTGATGTGCTTATTGTGTATTTCTTTCCCTGACTTCAATTTCCCTCAGCAAATCATGTACATTGTTTTAATTTGCACTGCGCTATATTTATTGTTAGCTGCCTTTGAGTCCATATATCAAGAGAAGAACAGGATAAAAATAAAGTAAATAAACAAGTAATCATACATATATAAAGATAGATCAAGTCCCCCCCCCCTCCCCACACATACATACACACACACACTGTGTTTTGTTTGCTCACTGTACAGATAGTAGGGTGGGGGCAAGTTGGATCAGGAAATTGGTGGGAAGAGAGAGAGGACTGACTTAGCCCCAATTATTTTGTCCTCTGCACTATTTGTCTTGTACACTACCATTGGCAAATATCAGAATTTTTTTATTGTGTTGATGGCCCCTACCCCCCAGTTTAACTAAACAGGTCTTTCTGGTCCTTTCATTCAGTACAGTGATAACAAGTGGGTGCTTGGGGAATCTTTGTTCACCCACACAACTTTCCACAACACCAGGACTGTTGATTGTCAACTACCCACTGAAGAAGACCAGTATGATGCTGTGCATGTGGCAGATGGCCAGCCCATCGCTAGGTGGCAAATCAAGGTGCTCTATGTATATTTATGTAGTGATTAATAGTAAGTAAATATAAATGTATGCATTTGTTGTAGACCTCTGTAGTTAATTTCTCATTTAGAAGTATATGCATGCCCACTATATTTATTTAAAGCTGTATTTGTAATAGATATTTATTTACTTGTACAGGTTTTTTCCCCTGAAGGTACATAACTTCAACTCCTGTGGAATCTTTCAAAGCAAAATATACAGAGAAGGGAAGTCATGAGCAAAGTTTGGCCCATAGGTTTTATGTGCCCTTTCCAGGACCACTGGAGTAACAAAGATTGCTTTAAAATTCCTTCTAAGGGACATGGGGCCATTTTTTCTAGATTTTGTTCCTCCCAGGCCATTTAAGGCCAAGGGAAGGGCATTTTGAAAACCAGAAGTAAACTGAAAGTGACTGCCAGTCCCTTCTTGTTTTTTTAAAAAGCCTCATGCTCATTATAAAACTGCTCATTATAAAACTGTTTATTCATATCATGATCTGATCACCATGCTCAATATATCCCATATGCATGGGGATATTGGGGTAATGATACAAAAGGTTTGCTAGGGTAGACCCTCTTTCACTCAGACTCAGCCCCCCCCGAACCAAACTCAGCCCCCCCTCCCCTCCCCGAAACAAAATCCTGGCTATGGGCCTGGGTGACGGGATAATGCACGTCGCCACCCTTTCTCCCATCTAATGGGGACAGGGCGCCAACACACCCTGTCCCACCCCCGGTGCCCCCGGTGGTGCAGTGGGTTAAACCCCTGTGCCGGCAGGACTGAAGACCGACAGGTCGCAGGTTCGAATCCAGGGAGAGGCGGATGAGCTCCCTCTATCAGCTCCAGCTCCTCATGCGGGGACATGAGAGAAGCCTCCCACAAGGATGATAAAATATCAAATCATCCAGGCGTCCCCTGGGCAACGTCCTTGCAGACGGCCAATTCTCTCACACCAGAAGCGACTTGCTCCTGACACGACAAAAAAAAACCCACCATGTTATGGGGTAAGGAGGGAGGGTGCGCAGGGCATCACGAGCTTCTTCACACCTTCCCTTTCACCGACGATTGCCAGCGCAATAGCACAGCCCAAAAGGGTTGTACAAAGATGTGGCACAGTTGGTAGGTTCATGTTTAGAAAGATGCCAGAGTTTAATGGTTGAGCACCTACTTCATACTCAGAAGGTCCCAATCTGAGAATACCTAGATGATTCAGTTAAAATCTATAAGAGTTTACTATTCATGCTTGGGGGTGGGGATCCTAAAATGCCTTTCTCCAAATGCTTCTAAAGCTGTACAGTGAAAGAATACCCTCTCATTGATATTGCAGGCTTGGAATTGCTTCTTGAAGTAGGTCCACTTGGTAGCAATTGTTATCATTTCTGTTTTAATCTTCTGAAGTTTTTACAATGTATTTCAGCATTTTTTCTTTGTTTTTGACATGTGTAATTTGTGTATTTATCTTGTTTTTGTAAACTTCATTAGAAGCTCCATCAAAGGGCAATATATTTAAACATTTAAAGAAGGATTACTAAATGAAATAGTTTACCAGTTGTTATGTGCTTTAAAATATAATGGATTCAACCCAGTTAAAGCTAATTTGGGTGTTGTCACTTTTAATATGTTCCATTATTCTGTTTTGACTGCTTTTGTAATTGTCAGCACTATTGTTATCTGTCTTAACAGATTTCTAATGATGGTCTTACTTATAGCAACCCAAAAACAGTGACTTTGTTTGATGGAGCATGTCAAATATGTGATCCACAATCGAATGATTTATGCATATTAAAGGCAAGATTTTATTTTCTTATTTTTATTTTTATTATTTGTAACCTTACTGGTGCAAGAAAATTAACTAGGATAGCAACCAGCTGGTTAAATACATTAAAGTCATATGAGCTTTAATAACGTTGTAGTTTAGTGTAGTGAAGGCTGAAGATCTTATAAAGCTACACCTCCCATGATTTCAGAAGCATGAGCAATATCAGTTGAAGTGTATCACATTGCATTAATTGATAGTGACAGAGGAAGAACAAGTTTGTTCACTTATGAGAGTAATATCTGTTTTGTTGTCCTGTTGCTTATTTTGTGCATTGTACATTGTACATTAATGGTGGGGGGGGGGGCATGGTGGCACAGTGGGTTAAACTGCTAAACTGCAGAACTTGCTGGCTGGTAGGTCAGCAGATCTGATCCGCAGGATGGGGTGAGCTCCCAATATTAGCCCCATCTTCTGCCAACCTAGCAGTTCAAAGACATACCAAAGTGAGTAGATCAATAGGTACTGCTTCGGCAAGAAGGTAACGGCACTCCATGCAGCCATGCTGGTCACATGACCTTGGAGGTAACTACAGACAATGCCGGCTCTTCTGGAGATGAGCACCACCCAGCAGAGTCAGACTTGACTAGACTTAATGTCAAAGGGAAACCTTTTCTTTACTTACATTGATGGTACTAGATCAGACATGGGCAAACTTCAGCCCTCCAGATGTTTTGGACATCAATTCTCATAACTCCTAACAACCTACTGCTGACAATTGCAGCAGTAATAGTTAGGAGGCTGGTGCTGTGGAAGTTTAACACAAAAATGTTTCCAATATTTTAGACCCTTAATAAATGTCATTCTTGTTTCTGTAAAGGAGAAAACGTGCAACATAGATGGTCTTTGCTATGGTGAAGGTGATAGAAATCCTACCAGTCCCTGCTTGCTTTGCAGACCTGAATTATCAAGGATAATGTGGTCCATTTCTGAAAGTAAGTTCTGTTTACTTATAAATTCCTGTTGTCAAACACTATAAATTAATAGCATGTTTGCTTCAAGATTTCTTTTCTTTTTTTTCTTTTTTTTTTTTTTTGGTTTTTAAAAGTATAGTAGGGTAGTTTTCATCTTTTCAACCCAGATGAGCATTTCCATAAAATAAACTATCATGGATGATACTAGGACAGAGGTGGGCAAAGTGTGACCCGCATGTTTAATGCAAACCCCCAGGGTCTTTTTGTGGCATGTGAAGGTCAAAGTATTTGTTTTCTCCAGGATTCCCCCAAATAGAGAGTGTGGAGGACATTTACACTCTATTTGGAGATCACATGCCCTCCCCAGGAAGCTAAAAATATTTTTGCAAAATTTGTCACTAAAACACTCATTTTTGTGCCCCCAGAAACTCCAGAATATCCACTAAGGGGCATGCATGGAGTGCATTTCCACCACATTTTGTAGGGTCCCTGCCCAGTTTAAGCCAAGGAGAGGACTTACTTGAAAGTACATTTACTCCTGAGATCTAAAACCCTAATAAAGCACCTTCAGAAAAAAAAACCTGGGCTCAGGCTGCTCAGGACCAATGTAATGTTCTGGTTTTGCACCTCATTACATACTCCTCATGGAGCCCCTGGTGGTGCAGTGGGTTAAACCGCTGAGCTGCTGGACTTGTTGACCGAAAAGTCGCAGGTTCGAATCCAGGGAGCAGGGTGAGTGCCCACTGTCAGCCTCAGCTTCTGCCAATCTAGCAGTTTGAAAATATACAAATGTGAGTAGATCAATAGGTACCTCTCCGGCAGGAAGGTAATGGTGCTCTAGGCAGTCATGCAGGCTACATAACGTTGGAGGTGTCTACGGACAACATTGGCTCTTTGGCTTAGAAATGGAGATGAGCACCAACCCCCAGAGTTGGACACAGCTGGACTTAATGTCAGTGGAAAACTTTTACCTTTGCCTTTGCATACTCCTCATTCTTGGTTGAAAGCAACCACTTAGCCATAAACAAAGCATTGTACTCTGATACTTACTTGTAGTAGTCCTTTCACCGTGGATATGTATGTATCTACGGAGGGGCTTCAGGGGTGAGGAATGGATCAGTAAATGTCCTTGCTGTGACTATTTTGTGGATTGATATTTTTAATACTGTTGCCCTTTTCACCCCACAGACAACCAGCCTCCTATATTCCAAAGCATACAAGAAAAACCGCAAGCATTTTATGGAGAGCATTTTGTTTATCAGTTCACAGCCATGGATCCAGAAGGCTCTGCTGTTGCTTTTTTGTTGGATTCTGGCCCTCCAGGTGCCAGTCTTTCCCCTGCTGGACTCCTCATCTGGAAGGCATTATCAAAAAATGCTGAGAAATTTGCTTTTTCTGTAACTGATGACTGCAGTGCTGAAACCAAAGTAATAATAGAGGTAATATCTGTTGGGATGAAATGGCCAACATTCATTTCTATAATATAGCAATAAAACCCATTACAAATGAATATCTAGTTCATGAGTAAATAACCTGCTGTTTATTGGGTATGTTTTGTAGGTCAACGTGAAACCATGCAACTGCTTAAATGGTGGGTCTTGTGTGACAAATACCAATTTCCCCGCTGGAAGTGGGAAATATCTGTGCCTCTGCTTGCCGGGATTTGAAGGTGACCTTTGTCAAGTGAACACTGATAACTGTGCCTCCAATCCCTGTGGTCGTGGCAGATGTTTTGATGGGATAAACAACTTCCACTGTGAATGTACACCTGGGCTGCAGGGTGAATTGTCACTTAGTCTGAATTTACATAGCAGTAATTCAATTATATGCTTGATTTCAGTATTCAGTATAACACTGCTAGGTATTTAAGCAGAACAGATAGGTTTTAAGCATTGCTTACTGAATTACATCTTTACATAAGATCTATGCAATGCATTAATGCCAGTGAACAAGAGAGCAAAGGTTCAGCTTTAGCCTTGTGAGGTTTCTGGATTACTAGGGATGGCAGCCTAAGAAATAGAAACATGATGTGATCTTGTACATGTCAGTTCAAAAGTATGTCCTGTAAAGTTTAATGGGGTCTGCTCTTGGAAAATCAGCCATATATATATTATATGGATATAGATATAGATATATGACAAATGGCATGGAAATATTGGGGTGTTTTATCATTTTACTAATATTATCAGAAGTCTGCTAGACTAGAGGAATTGCAGTTTCCTATAATTTGGCAGTTTCGTTTTGTGAGAAAAACAGTCTTTATTAGTGTACCTAAATGGTTTTGTTTCTATTTAGGTAGATATTGTCAAGAAGATACTGATCAGTGCAAATCCACACCCTGCTTTGCTGGAGTAGCTTGCTTTAATACTGTGGAGTCCTATACTTGTGGCCCATGTCCTGAAGGCATGTATGGTGATGGGAAGATCTGCCATGGTAAAAATAATTTGTTGTTTTGTGCCTACAAGTCATCTCCTGTTTACATTGACCCTATAATGGTGTTTTCTGGACTATGAGTATGTGACTTGCCCAAAATCTCCCAGTGGGTTTCCATGCCTGAGTGGGAAATTGAGCCTTGGTCTCCATAGTCATAGTCCAATACCCACCTAAGCATGTTGGTTCATGCCCAGAGATGCCAAGTGGAAACTAGAACCTGGATCTTTTAGATTCTAGTCAAACATTCTAATAATTAACAAGAAATAAATACTGATGCCCCTTCAATGCAGTCAATTTGCAAAATTGTTCAATTTGCAAAATTGTTCACATCAGTTGCTGAGATAGAGACTCCTTTGCTGTCTGATGTACATATACTTTGCTTCATGCACAAAATTATTAAACATAGTTGTATGAAATTATCTTCAGACTATATGTCTATGGTGTATATGAAACATAAATGAAGTTTATGTTTAAACTTGGGTCCAAGATATCTCATCTTGTATGTATATGCAAATTCAGGTATTTCAAAATCTGAAAACAGAAATCCAAAATACTTCTAGTCTCAATCATTTGAGATAAAAACATACTCAATCTATATAGTTCTATGAATGTCAAACAGTGATTGGAGACAATTGTCTTGTGATGATACTGCTTTTGAACCTCCACTTAAGAATGTCCCAAATAAAGAACTTTTGAGTTAAGAGCTGTCACTAGGCCTGAGTTTTGCTTTGACAAATGAGCAGCATTTTGAGTTAAGAGCTAGCACCAGAGAGAGCTCTAGTGCCAGAGTGCAGGGCTGCATCCTGGTCGTGTTGCTGGCATGGCTGCATGGGCACTTTTTACCTTCCCGCCAAGGCAGTGCCTATTGATCTACTCACATTACATGTTTTCGAACTGGTATGTTGGTAGAAGCTAGGGCTAACAGCGAGCGCTCACCCTGACCCACAGTTTTGAACAGCCAACCTTCTGGTCAGCAAGTTTTTTTGCAGCTAGTGGTTTAACTTGCTGTGCTACCATGGCCTCATATTCTTATTTAAAAACATGTAACAAAAAGGGGGAGTGGTTTGGGGGACTGGAATGAGTCAATAGCATTTCAATGGGAAATTTGCTTTGAGAGCAGAGTGATTTGAATTAAGAGATCAGTCACAGATGAATTAAACTCTTAACTCAAGTCATTCCTCTATTATCTACATATAGCTCTTTGTAGAATTTTTTATGCCTGACAGTAGGTTCCACCTGAATGAGGTAGAAGACAAGCTTGGAATTAAGAAATGACTTAAGTCAAAATGGTTCTATTAATAGGCCCTTTTGTCAATAAAAGAGAGATCTTTTGATCATTTTGAGACTTTATTGGGCTCTCCCCAATTCTGGCTCCTTTCCTTAAAGTCTTTAGATGTCATTCTCCAAAAGCTGTCCTCTTAGAGCACCTACCCCATGAAATGACACCTACATATGCATGTCAGATTATATGCCTATCACAAAGCAGCACTATTTTCTCCAAATCTTGTACTAATGAACATGTAGCCATAAAACACTAAAATAAATATGGAAAGGGGGCATGTTGGTGTACATTACGTAGTATAAGTGCATCTGAAATGCCTACACAAATACAGCCGGGGAAGGCAGCAAGTAACCAAGGCAACAGAGAAAGAAGTTACCAGTGCAGAGCGACTGAAAAGCTGGAGGGAGAGAAATGATATAGGCAGAAATTATTTTTTATGAAACCAAGGGGGAAGCAGTGAAGGAAGTAGAGAATAAATACTCCGTCAACAACAGATATTGAGCAAGGGATCTGAATATTAGAGAGAAATGATTACTATAAACAGAAGAATGCCCATGGAAGATCTGTGCTGCGTAGCAGACTTGACTGAAGCCGAAAACATATTAGGGCTTTGCATTTACTGAAAGAGCGCCTCTGGAGATGGACAGTCGGTGTTAAGGGGAAAGGATGAAATGCACTGTAATAGATTCTAACCATGGCTCATACGGGTTTATTGAAACTGTGCGTATTTAAATTCTCAAAGCAATTGTATATTCTGGTACGACTGCATCTGGCTTCTCCATGTTTATTATCTGAATTATGTCCTTGTTTACATTTTTTGTTAATGTTATCCTGTTGTTCAGAATGAATTCCACTCATGTGAATTTTGGGTCAAGGAAAATGCGTGTCTTCAACAATCCAATGTTGGTTTCAAAGTATTCTGTATGAAATGATAACAATATACTCTTAAATAACTGGATATGAAATCATGGTGTAGCCACACTGTCCAATTGTACTATTTTGATACCACTTTAACTGTTATGGCTCAGTCCCATGGAATCCTGAGATATATAGTCAGAAGGGAGATTTCTGTGCTATGGAGTACTAATATTGTTGTTGTGGTAGGTGAAATGGAACATTCTAAATACTGTTGTAAATCTCAGGGTCCTGCGGGATGAAACCATGCACTTGAAGTGGAATGCAGCTGCTATAGATATTCTGTGAGGATATATCCTATATGTTTGATAATTTATGTTGCTTTCTAAGATATTACTTTGTAAATTCAACCCATGTTGGATATCTGGATGATAATGAGCATCATATTCTCTTACTCATATAGTGCTATTGCTGTACATAGTTCTTTACAAGTAGAACACCAAAACTGTTCCCTGTCCTCAGATATACAATCTAATTATGATAGGACACAAAAAGAAAGGGGATGGCAATCTGAAATGGGATTAAATTAAGGAAAAACTGCTCTTTCTTCTCTTCTATGAAGGTCAGGGCAGTAGCAATTGGGATGGAGTGAGGTTCCTTCTTCGGCTAGTGGGCTTGGACACATTGGAGCTGTGGCTGCCTTTTATTTGGTCTCCTTGAAGCCAGGCAATGGCAGTTGGAGGGGGGTGTTCCTCTGTTCCTGGTCCTAGCTATAATTGAATTGTGTTTGCCTCTTCTCCCTGGCTACCAATGGCAGGGCAGTGGCAGGTAGGATAGAGAAAGGATCTTTCATCTGTTTCTAGACCTGGGCATAATGGAACTTGCCTGAGATGTCTTCTCTCCTTCCAAGGCCTGGGCAGTGGCAGTTGGGATAGAGGGGTGTCCTTTCATTTGTTTCTGGTTCTATCTGAGATGAAGTTGTGCCTACTTCTTCCTTTCTCCCCCTAAGACCATAGTAGTAGCATTTGGGATAGAGGCAAGGTGATAATTTTGTCACCGGGGAGGGAGTGGGAGGTCAGAGTAAGAATTGAAAATTCTGAAGGCTTGTCAAAAATATTTTCTGGAATTATATTTCATTTCCCTCCCATACAAAGTAGAATCCCCCCCCCCCCCCAAGTTGTGGTAGCTCTTTAGGAATAAAGGATTGCTCTCTGGAGATTCAGTAGAGAGAAGTTGCTAACCAATGTGGCCATGGTGGATTCTGGAAGTTGTAGTCCAATAAAGTTGAGATAATTGACTAAAATTCTCATCAGCCTTAGCCAGCCTGGCCATTCATGAGGCATGATGCAACACCAACATAATGCAACATCTTGCATTATGCTCTCCCACCAACATAATGCAACATCTTGAGAGCTAGAGCTTATTCTGCCTTGCAGTGGGAGCTATGTTTATAAAGTTAATGTCTTGGAAAGCCTTGTGTAAAGCATTAGATCATATTTCCAGGTGATTTAGGTAGAGCCATGTCTTAGAAGCAATCAAAAATGCAAGTCTGAACAGAAGAAAATGAATTTGCAGCTCACCGAAGTAGTTTCACTGGGGATGGAACCGATTCTTTTCCAATAGGAAAAAACGTAACAGGTTTAGGAAACTGTAGCGAGAGTTTTTCCCTTAGGGCCATCTTCCAGCTATATATTTGTTTTGTTTCTTAATTTGTAAAATCGTAACGTAATTTGACATTTAATAGGATTTTCCTTAATCCCTCCTTATTATCCAACATTTTTGTTTATCCAGTGTTCTGCCAACCCATTTATGTTAGATAAGCAAGACTCTACTGTATTTTGGTCCTTGAATTAAATGCCAAGATGTAGCATGGGCACATTGCATGAATGACGACAGATAGACAGGCAATGCTCAATAACCCATTGTATGTATGCATGTATGTGTGTATGGATAGATAGATAGATGGTAACACTCAGTAACACTAAGTAGTAGAGCAAGTATAGAAAGAATTCTGATCAATATAGAAAATTCATTGTTACAAATGTAAGAATATTTTCTTTTCCAATTTAAATGTTGTAATTATTTTTGCTTCTGTCTTCTCTGTTTCTTTGGCAGGTTTTGTGCAACGCTCAGCAGCCCAGGCTCCAAACATTACTGAGCTTCCTCCTAATCCTGCAGATGTTTCCAAAAGTTTTGTTCCCACAGAAAGAGCCAACATCATTCCACTAATGTCCGCAGCAAAACCAACTATATCTTCAGATGTATTTCTTTCACAGAGAGCAGCTTTTAGAAGGACTGTCCAGAATAAATACCCTAGTTATGCATTTGGCATCAGTACCACAAATGTTCATTCTGGCAATACAAGAGAAGACATACCAATAAACTCTACATCTGACATGTTGCTTAGGAATAACTCAGTCTTCATTGAGAAGACAACAAAGATACAAGATCACTCAACCTATTCACCACTTGAAGATGGCATCACATTGAGCAGCAGAGCTAACATGATCAATGGCACATGGTTCTCAAAGAAAGAACTGGGGGAAAGAAGTAATCACAAATTTCAAAGTCCCTTCAATGGGCATAAAGATAATTCTGTATCATCCACCTTTGAGAGACATGCTATGTACCCTAAAGATCCAGGCACACATAAAAAATTATCATCAGCAGCTATCCCACGACTCTTAACCTGTGCAGATTCACCCTGTTTCCCTGGAGTTCCTTGCAAACCAAGTGAAAAGGGGAGCTTCAAATGTGGTCGTTGTCCTTTTGGCTATTATGGAGATGGTGTCATTTGTAGAGGTATAAGTATCAACAGTAATTATAATAACATGGTCATTTTTTCATTCAGTGTTTTAAAATTTCATTTATATTCTTTAATTGTAAGTTATTCTAGGTCCCATTCAAGGGAGAAATGTGGGATATATGGTTGTGGGGTTCAGGTGTGCAGGACCCATGTCTGTAAATAAAAAACTCTTTTTTTGCATTAGAGATCACATTTCTAGGAATCCCTAGAGCCTTCAGTGCGATTTCATGGCCAATATTGGAAATTGAACAAGTAATCATGCTGGAGGATGTATAAATGTCTAGAAAAATGTTCTCTGTGGTAATCTCTAGACATTGGTCAATTTCTGGTGGTCAATTTCTGGTGAAGTTGGTCAATTTCTCCGTGGTCAATTTCTGGTGAAGATTGACCATGGAGCCACTCTTGAAAACCTAGAGATTCCTAGAGAGAACATATTAATCAATTCCACAAATAATCAAATCCACAAAAAACAAAACCTGCAAATGTTGACAGTCAACCATAAATCAAATTAATAATTTCCTCCTCTCTTGTAGCCATATGCAGGCACACATGTGGTCAAAACATGGAATGTGTAGCACCAAATACATGCAGATGTAAGCTTGGTTATACTGGTCTTAGTTGTCAGGCAGGTGAGTAAAACGTATTGCAGTTTCCCTGTGTGATTGATAATCCTAAATAATGCTTCTAAAGATTGGGTGTTATTTTTATACAGCTTTGTGTCAACCAGAATGCAAAAACCATGGGAAGTGTATCAAGCCTAATGTATGTGAATGTCTTCCTGGGTTCAGTGGTTCCAACTGTGATGAAGGTAAATGAAGTATCCTCTTATGGATAACCCAAAATGTATACTGGACTTTGCTGTGAATATTGATCCTTGAAACATGTCAGTGTCAATTATTTGTTTTCATAAAACAGAATCTGAAAATGCATAATTCATTTTTGTTCCCCTAAGATCAGGAGTTCATAAAGCTGTATTTCTTATTCTGAAGACATGCTTAAAAGCTGAAGTGATGTGTGAAGCTGGAGAACACAATTTGTATAAAAGACCACTTTTCCTGCCACCAAACTGTAACTCTTTAGCACAATATGTTTGACCCAAAAATGCTGTAATGTTAAGAGCCCAGCTACCTTTGAAGCATCATTGATTTCCTCAGCGCTGAACTAGAACCTCTTGGTTCAGTTATACTCAAGGCAATCCCATTGAAATCCGTGTCACTTTTTAAGCCATGGCTAATATTAACTCAAAGAGTCCACTCTAAATATAACTAAATCAGAATATACTCTGTTATATATTTCTTTTATATTTAGAGGTAAGCAACCATTTTTGTCAACCATGTTCCCCTTTCCAAATTAGCAGGTTTTCACCTAAAATCTTCCCACTAGCTAAAAGGATTCAACTAAGGTTATCATAGGCTGGGCCTATTATGAGATGGCATAACTCATTGGACACTATGATAATGCTGGGGGGAATGGTGGGAAAATAGAAAATGGATTGCTTCAGTCAAGGAGGGGATTTGAGCATGCAATAGTTTAGTAGAACTGCTAATGACCAAGACTCTTGGAGAGCCATCATTCTTAAGGCCACCATATGTCAAATAACAACAAAGAGCACAAAGAGGTGATTTTACGATATTCTCTTGATCCTGTTCTAGACCAAGGAGATGGCTTTTTCCAAGCAAAATGGAAATCAGCAGTTGCCCATCCCTGATTTAAATGTGCATAATTCAGTGAAACATATTATTCACTCAGACTTCTCAGTCATTACTAGTTTCTTTGAACTCAAGTACTAAGGTATAGTAATATAAAACACAGATTGTACTGAAACGTGACAATGCAGGTACTGCCAAACTCATTAGGTTGGCTCTCATATTGAAAATGTAGTTTAGTATTTGGTCCTCTCTGTTTTTGATATTCCAAGGAGTAATTTCAGTTGTTGTTTTTTAAAAAGATCGCTGTTTCAACCAGTTTGCGTAGAATAAGCTGTCAAAGGTTATTTTACTTTATCTTTTGTTTAAACATCTCTGATTTCCATGGAATTTTTTTGGAGCTGATTTCCTGAAGAAACTTCTTTTTGCACCTGCAGCACATTGTGACCCACCTTGCCTACATGGAGGGACCTGTCTTTCTCGAAATCTCTGTACATGCCCCTATGGATTTGTTGGTCCACGCTGTGAAACAAGTAAGTTGTTCAAAGAAATGTTTGTGCTTGAACTTGTGGCCTGTGGATTCAGGTTTCCAGTCAATCAGTACAATGTGAAAATCAGATGAGCATTGTTGCATAGTTAGACATATCCAAATGAGAGACACTGCACATTTCTGGTCTTTTTATGCTACCGAACCTGCAAAATTTATGTTTGTAAAGATCATAAAAGACTTTTGACTTATAAGTCGAACTTCTTGATATGTATGCTACAAGTAAATGCTCTTCAGTCTAAGAAGGTTATGGGAAACATGGTTTTTAAAATCAGCAAAACTGCAGTCCTATGAATGGCCATCTCTTATGTGAATATATTTTGATATAATTCTTATTGTTAAGGTTAAATGATAAGGACGGATTTTGATAAAAGCTATGAAATTATACGGATGCCTTATATGGTAGTTTTGCGATGTTTTGTACTCACTTAGGCATTGAATATCTGCCTTCTTATGTGTAAACCGCCCTGAGTTCCCTCGGGGAGAGAGGGCAGTATAGAAATAAGTTGTTGTTGTTGTTGTTATTATTATTATTATTATTATTATTATTATTATTATTATTATTATAGTTTTGAGTCCCATCTGTGGGAGAAAACTGGGATAAAAGTAAGTAAATAATAATAAATAATATTAATTCTACTAATTCCTGGTTATTTCAATTCTGTTGTTACAGTGGTTTGCAACAGACACTGTGAAAATGGGGGTCAGTGTCTTACTCCCGATGTCTGCCAGTGTAGAGTTGGCTGGTATGGACCTACCTGTAGTACAGGTAAAAAACATAGCCCAAGGAAATTGCTTTGCATTAGAATTGCTGCACAACTCAGTAATACTGCAATCAGAAACTGGACATTTTAGAAATGATAGACTATGAAATACCAGATATATAACATAAATCATTAAGCAGTTGTGTAATAGTAGTGGGTAAGTATCCTGTTTCCGTAACTTCACAATGGACTTGTACTCAGTGTTGCTTCATTGAAGTCTCTGCTTTCATGGTGAAAAATTATGTCCTATAAGTGCAAGCTGACACTTTTTTCATGGATTTGAGGAAGGCAGAACCTTCTGTAAGCCTTAAAAATAAATATAATCTATATGTACAACTTTCAGTTCTTTATTTTTAACAGTTTTTAAAAATCACGGCTATCTGGCCTTGTTTTAAACTATGCAATCTTGAATTTGTCTGGTTTGTTGTTTCTGCCAGTCAAGTTTTATTTATCTGGGGAAGAAGGATATTTATTTGTTAACCAAAGTTTCAGTTATGAATAGTTAAATTATCTTTTTCATTGAACATATATTTCAACAGATAACTAGTGCAAATACAATACAACACTTTATTAAGGTCACTGACCAGCACAAAGTGACGCACAAGTGCCGTGGAAAGGGGAAACACAACTCCCGGGTGAAACAATTATTAAAAAAACAGATTAGAGAACAATTCAAAACCACAGTTTAAATACACAGGTTAATGTCACCGGTATGGAACCAAGGGGGAAGGGGAAGACTGGTAGGAGAGCTCAAAGCACTTGGGGGGGGGGGGCACTCAAGATCTAGTAGCATTTCAGCTGTAACAGGTTGCTCTAACTAGTGCAAATATAAACACATTTCCCCTTTGGATTGGGAAAAATAGCAGCCAAATTAGAATTTATTAACATTCAAATGTGGGAGAAAATTAAACTGATGGATACAGAGGGCTATTTGGGGGGGGGGGGTCATGTGTCCTGCCATTAGGGATAATATATTTTGAGAAGGACATATGGAAAAGCTTTTTTTGCTGTGGTACCTCATCAGTGAAATCAATCTCTTTGGAAGCCTGATTGGTGCCAAGCTGGTATTATTTCAGTTCCCCATTGGACACCTTTTTATTAAGCCTTTGGGTCTAAAGGTCATTTGCATGTAGTTATGTGACACTGGCCTTAATAATTTCTTCCTTTCCTCGTCTTTTACAGCAGTGTGTGATCCAGTGTGTCTCAATGGTGGGTCGTGTATTAAACCAAATACATGTCTTTGCCCATATGGATTTTTTGGTGCCTATTGTCAAAATGGTAATTTCATTTAGTTTTTTTGAAATAAAAATGATCAGTTCTTAGAAATAAGGAAATGGGGTCATTTCTCTGCTTCTTTTCTGATGGGAGTAATATTGAAGGAATAAAGCATGTTTTGGATCATATAGAGAGCACAACACAGTTGGTGTATGTTGTATGCTATGTATTGAAAAAATCAGGGAGCTTTGTGTTAAAGAACTTACTAGCAGTTCAGGATAGATCATCAAATTGTGTTGCCCCCAATCTAAAGCAAAGCACATAATACTCAACTTGTTTTTGCACACAAAATAGAAAATTCCATTATAAAGTCTCCCCCCCCCCTTTTAGCACTAATAATATCCTTTTATGAAACTGAAACATGCTGCTTTAAGGCAGTCATTCCCTCTTACCTTTATCTAATGATAGAATTGGCTCTGCTCAGTAAAAATTGGCACTATGTGATTTGTTGCATTCATAATCCATAATGAAGGTTTTGATTTGCTCTAAGTCTGTATCCCTTTCCCATTCTAGCCTGATTGTGAGTTAGGAGAAAACTTAGTACATGTGGCTGGAAAGACTAAAAACCTGTTGAGAATATAAGCCTTTTCAAACAAAACAAAACAAAAACCCGGCTCTAGTCCGCCTCAGACACAGGTTTTTTAATGTAACTTCCTGAATATAACTTCCCTTTTATTTTAGTTCCACAGTTCCACATTTTCTCAACATGGGGTCCAGGGAAAGAGGTAGGGGAACATTCTGAAATCTCCTGTATGTTCCAGGCCTTCTGCTTGCTTCACATAGACAATTGATATTTAGAACAAAAATAGACAAGTGACTGTCTATGTGACAAAGCTTGGAACAGTTTTGTTTTTTTGTTTTTTAAAAAAATTAAACTCAGAATGTACAGGTAATCAAAGAAAATAACCTCAAGTGTCTTGCCCGAAGTGACATGACAGCCCCCATGCCAGTCTTCAGCTTGGTCCTTGTAGTGGTCCAAGGAGAAAGGACTCCCATCCCTTCTGCCCCACTCTATTCCACTTACCTACATCGGTTTAACAGACACAAGTTCATGTAGATTGGAAGACCAATCTGCTGAATGTGGAATATTGTATGTGGAAATGAAATATTGATGTTCACGTGAGAAGATGAGTCCTCCCCCTCCTTTTGTGTGTGAGAGCCAGAGATTCAAGTTTAGCCTGAATGTGCTCATCCCCAGAGTTTAAAACTGGGCTGTTTCTCAGCTAAATATGCAAGGTTTGAACAATCAAGCAGTAAATAACATAGACAAGGACACAGAATCTTTTCCTAGTGTGAAAGGCTGGTTAGTGATTCTCACGCCAGTACTACATCTATACATGACTTGTGCGACTGATTCTGCTTCTTAGATGCTCTTAACATTATACAGTGTGTCTATCAGATGTGCAGCTTGGATGGATGATGCTGTATCTACTATTACACATTACTGAATAGCTTGCGAAGAGATTTTGTCATTTGGAAAAGTGGAGTGACCTTGTGTAAACATGTACATTGATCTAGCTGAGAGCTTATGTAAATGTATCTCTGCATGCATGTCTGTGAATGTGAATGCACTAGCTGTGAGCTGTTGCTTAACTTTAAGTATCCTGTTTATGTTTTTGGATGCTCTGCTATATTTTAGGGTAGTTTTCTCTAATAGAAGATGCCACCTTCACGTTTATGCATATGCAGAGACGAAAACATCACCTTCAAATTTATTTGTTGCAGTTAGTCAAAAGAGAAACTCTATTGATATTTCCATTATTAGAGATAAACAAAAATGTTATGCTTGCATAGTGTTGAGTGTTTGAATCTGCACCTCACTTGTTTGTTTTATCTTTAGCTGTCTGCAGCCCCCCTTGTAAGAATGGTGGTCATTGTATGAGAAATAATGTTTGCACCTGCCCTGAGGGATATATTGGCAGAAGATGTGAAAAAAGTAAGGCTGCTTCAAAATTCTGACACGTTTCAACTGGTCAAAGTGGGAAAATGTTACCAGCTTCATCACACACACTGTGTAATTTTTTTTATACTCTTCGAATTTTAGGTATTTGTGATCCTGTGTGCATGAATGGAGGGAGATGCGTGGGCCCAAATGTTTGTTCTTGTCCTTCTGGCTGGAGAGGCAAACGATGCAACACCCGTATGTATTTATCTCAGCACCTGCAACCATAAAAAGGCATGCCTGTTGTTAAATTGGGTAGATAAAGAGCATTTTTTTCCCTAAGCTACATCAGTAAGGAGCATGTAATTTACATTCCATTGTAATTAGAGGGCATCTATTCACAGCAGTTTAATGTGACCCTTGGGGTTTTCCCTGTCTAATGGACCAGACTTACCTTCTCTTTCAAAATAATATCTGTAGCTTCCTTGTTTATCTCCTTGCTTAAGTGTTCAATATCTCACAGGCACAGCATGTCTCCCTGATAATCTTTTTTTTATACAATTTTGAGACAAATTTCCACCTCTCATACTGCAGAGGTCAGACAGTGGCTTTGTTAAACTAACTCAAACAAGATCAGAATCAAGCTGCATTGATTTCAAACATAAAGGCCAGCAAAGGTCTATGACCAAGAGCAGAGGGCAAAAGAGCAGATGGTTCCAGAATCTCTTTTAGCTTACAGAAAAAATATCAGAAGGTTTGAACAAGCTCTGTCAAATCAAGTCAAAAAATGTCACTGACATCAGAGAGTGGTGTGTGCATTCCAGTAGTTGAGAGCTGGGGAAGCTTAAAGAGGCTTATGTTGATTTTTTTTAGGAGGAGATGAAAATGATGGTTGGAAGATGCAATTTCTGCAGTGTACATTCTTTAGGACATAATAATAATAATAATAATAATAATAATAATAATAATCATCATCATCATCATCATCATCATCGGCACACTGGATGCAGTGCCTAAAGACATTGGCCTGCACTTAAACACAATCGGCGCTGACAAAATTACCATCTGCCAGCTGCAAAAGACCACCTTATTGGGATTTACACACATTATTCGCCGATACATCACACAGTCCTAGACACTTGGGAAGTGTTCGATGTGTGATTGAATACAATAACCAGCAGAGTGATCTTGTTTGCTATGGACTCATCTTGTTGTGTTTCAAATAATAAAAACAATAACTTTATCTTTATACCCCCACCTCCATCTCCCTGGAGGAACTTGGGGTGGCTTACATGGGGATGAGCCAGATCAAACATAGTTCAAATATAAAACCCTAAAATACATAAACAACAACATAAAACAGAATAAAACAACAACACTATAACAGAATATAAGAGCAATGAACCTACAATAATAGTCAATTTCTGGGCAACCTCTGAGGGTGCCTGGCATAGATGCAGGAGAAACGTTAGGAGAGAATGCTTCTAGAACATGGCCATACAGCTCAAAACCCCTACAACAACCCAGTGATTCTGGCCATGAAAGCCTTCAACACTACAGTTTTCAAAACCATTAGAAATATAGGAAACAAATTTGGAAAAGATGCAGAGGTTGATTTCCTCCCACTCTGACTAAGGCAAGACTAAGGATGCTCAAACAGATTTTGACTCATCAAGGATATTCATGGTTCCATTAACATCAGTGCCTGTGTCTTCATGTGTGTTTTGTAGCTATATGCCTTCAGAAGTGCAAGAATGGGGGAGAATGCATTGGACCAAGTGCTTGCCATTGTCGTCCAGGATGGGAGGGAGTTCAATGTCAAACACGTGAGTCACCTTTACGGTTTTTATTTTTTTTAAATTTATTTAATTAATCTATACCTATTTTTTTCTCTCATAAGGGATCCAAAGTTCAGATTACAGTGCGATAAAACATTTAAGAATTCTTGTAGAATAATCAGGGCTTCCTTCGCTGACAGAGAGGTTCTATTTGCTAGACTATTTATTTATTTTTATTTTGTTTGTTTGTTTGTTTGATTGATTGTGTCAGAAGAGAATTGAGGGTACAGTTGTAAAAACACACTTTTTGTATGTTTCAGCTGTGTGCAACCGGAAGTGTCTCTATGGAGGCATATGTACACTGCCAAATGTGTGCTCTTGTCGTCCTGGCTACAGTGGAGTTATCTGTGGGAAGAAAAATCAGGTATCTCAAATAGTCCCTGCTTTCAAAAAGACAAAAGTGGCTGGGGCTGAGACTGTATTATAATTCAACTTTCTCTCCCCCCCCCCCCCCCCCCCCCCCCCCCCCCCCCCGCCTCAATTTTCTTCCAAGGTTCAACGTGTTTGAAGAATAAATTTCCCTGAATTCCACATATACCAAACATGGACTACAGGGTTCTAGGATGTGGACAGATTCTTACAAGGCCCTTTTTCATAAAAAGACTCAACCCTTTCTTCCATATGCAGATTGCTGACATACTGTAAATAGAGATGAAAGCCTGTTTAGAAATGCTTTGGCTAGCTGGGGTGGGAATGGAGAGACATAATATTACTTCAAGCTGCCTAGCCATTCATATTGAGTTTTAAAAAATGTTCAACTCTAAGCATCCCATTGCTCCCATTCTTCCATAGGCCATGAGCAAAGTGTAACTTTGCAGGCAGTATATGGTTCTCCCAGATTTTCCACTGGAGCTCCCCATAAATACTCACTAAACATTTTTGCCCCAAAATCACCCCAATCCAAAACTTTCGTAGTGTTGGCAGAGGTCTGGTGGGGAAGAAGTCCTCCAAGATACAGAAAAATGTCTTCCTAAGACATAATAATTTACCAAACATTACACTACACCAAAGCTGCTTGAGCTATGGGTCACAACCCCATCTGAAGTCCCTTAACTAAATGTGGGGTTTGCAAAACATTTGTGTAGCTTTTCACTTAGTGGCTGTTTTAGTCATTTACTTCAATCTGTTACCAATAATGTGCTGCAAATACTTCAGTCATACTTTATAAGAAAGGAAAATCAACCTGCCCCCCCTTTTTTTAGCAAGCCTTGCAAGTGATGATTTTGCTTTATGGCTATTTTATCTATATACTCAAGGTCACATAAAAAATCTTGTGTGAAAAGGGGCCATGAGTGGAAAAGGTTTAAGAAGCCCTGCACTTAACTGAACACAACACGAGTCATTCATGTTGTGTTCAGTTACAGGTTGAGTATCTTTTGTTCAAAATGCTTGGATTTAGGGGTATTCCATATTTTGGATCCCCCCCCCCCGAATACTTGCATATTCATAAATGGATATCTTAAGATGAGGCCCAAGTCTAAACATGCAATTCATTTTTGTCATGTATACCTTATAGCCAAATGGTAATTTTATACAAACATTTTAAATAATTTTATACATGAAACAAAGTTTATGTACATTGAAAAGTTCTCTATCTCAGCCACACTTCTGGATCCAGATACTTCTGGATTATTTTGGATTTAAGAATTCCAGATGAAGGATTCTCAACCCATATAACACTGTGATTCCAATTTTTCACGCTATAGAATTTTGGGATTTGGAGTTTAGGGAAGTGCATATAGAATTTTCATCCAGGGACACTAATGCATCACCAAACTATAAATCCCAGTGTTTCATAAGATATTGCCATGGCAGCTAAAGTGGAATTATAACAATGACAACTGTATATCGTGAATTGGTTGCATATCCCACTGTTTATTTGTTGAAGAAAACTAATGGGACTGAGTAGAGGTGGGCTGTGAATATTTTCGGGTGAGGTCAGGACAAGCCCTAAATTACTGTCAATAAGAAATAAGTAGTAGCAAGCTCAGCGCAGCAACATGGTACCCTATGCAAGACGTGCCTGGTGGGGAACAGCCCCTTCAAGTCATCTACATACTGATTTCTGCAATGATTTGTTGAAGAAAAATATTTTTATGATAAGTCTTAGTGTGACTAGATGGCCACTGTGATCTCCTCCAACTTTATAATTCTTTGATTTGAATAACTAGGAAATTGCCCATGCTGGCAAGGAGATTCTGGGAATTAACAGTAAAACAGTAACACTTTCCCAATCTCTGATTACTATACCACTCTGCATTGTTTGTTGTCCTTGCTACCTCTAGAAACCAGTTAGTAATTGCAATAATAAACTTTTGAACAAGGCAATCCATACTTGTAGGATGGCTGGGGAAGCTTGCTTTAGAAACAGACCTGTATAGATCTTTCTTGGGATCCTATCTAGAAAGAAGTAAAGCACCTCTAATACTACCTGCTTGGATTGTGTAGGATCTATTCTTCCACATGAGTAATAGAAAAAAAGACATTTGGAAATCATATAAAGTTGGAAGTCTGGAACAATTATGCAGTTATTTAGATGTAATATGCCAGCATCGTATATTTTCTCCATACTCTGAAAGCCAAGTGAATTCCATGTATGTTACTTGTGAGCTTTTTCCCTCCCAAACTGCAGTGTTCAAATTACAATGAAAAAGATTTTGTTTATGATTCCTGTCAGTTCATTGGTTAAATCGTCCCGTCTGGTGCCTGCGTTGAGTCCCCCTAAGAATGGAAACTTACAAAGGGTGAAAAAGGTGCTTGCCTCTCATTGGGGCTGAATTCAGGAAGTTGTATTGGTATTCCATTCATTTTAGTGAGATGCAAGTTAGTCATAATTTCCTTTTCAGTGGTAACAAACCCAACTAAACTTGGTCAAAATGAGCCCACTATGCAGAAGAGTTGAATGTGGGCCATATATTATATACACTTCCTCTACTATAAACAAGTTTCCTGCTGTTCAGTAAGAGCATGTCTACAGTGGTGAAAAACATTGGACTGTTGGCACTGCAATCTTGTCACACAGCATTCTTGACAATTTGCTCAAAATGTGGGTTTTTTAAATCTAATCTGGGTATGTTAGATATGAAAACTGTTCCTTGGCCACCTTGAAGAACAAGAGCTTAGAGGACATCAGTAGTGCTTTTATAAATCACATGCCTTGTCATTTGAAATGTTTGTGATTGATGGTGAGTGTTTGTTACATAAATTACCCTTCCAAAGTGCAGACTGCAGAAAGTGTCTGCAGAGTTTCCAGCCAGATTTTCTATTTCAGACCAGCAAATGGGTGACATGATTTACATTTATAACTTTCTTTTATCATCTCATCGTAAGCAACTTGACATAATCTTCACGCATAAACAGAAGTGCTTTCTGCCTTGAAAAATCTCACCGGAGCACCCTTGATACAAGCTTGACATTTTACAAGTTCCACAGTGGAAGGCTGGAGGCTATGCTGCTCTTATCTGAATGTAAAGGCTCTACAAATGTGCAGCAAAGACTTGCCGAAGGGCATGTCAGAAACAGAGGCAAAGCTGAGTTTTACTTTTTATGTCTGTTTCTATTCCAAAGTTTGAACTAATGTTGAATTTCCAGGCAATTCTTAAAAACTGATCCCATGAGCAGCTACTTTCAGAAGGCAACTCATCATTTTATCCTTACAATTGATGGTAGCAGGATTGCAACACTCATTCCTAGCACAAAAGAGAACAGCATCAGAACAGTCAAGCTGTAGGACTATCATCTCCCCCTACACACACACAAGAACCTAGGAATGAGAATAACAGCTCAGGGATGTAGAAAAAAACACCACTGCTACCACCATGGAGAAGATGGTTGGAGGGAGAAAAACTGAGTTCTGCTGTAAGGAGTTGCAGCCCTCCAAGGTACTATTCAAAATGTGGAAGAGAATATGGTATAAACATTATAATTCTTGGTCTAGAGAAGGGGTGGGGTCTCTGTGGCCCCAGTGTGTGGTACTTGAAGCTTCTCATTAAAAATATAGTTCCCCACATGCCTTAAAACCATTACATAAAGCATTTGGGATCTCTATGTTTTCCATATATATATTTAAAAATCCTCTGATGATTTTCTGGAGCAATTGGCCAGAAACCACAATGGAAGTGGAATGAAACCACATCTGGTTGTTTTATGTTTATCAGTGTGATCCCGACAGAGGTTCATAAATGGAAAATAGCTCACATCCTCTCAATTGTTGCTTACCCATGCTCTAATTATGTTTGTGGCTGTGCAGATAGTAGCAGAACACCATCCTTTGTCATTTGTTCACTAATATAGTGATATAGCCCACTATGTAAAACAGTGGTTCCCGACCTGTAGGACACAAGACCTAAAATAAGGTCCGCGGCTCTAGATTATTAAATATGGTTTTCTGTGGTCAAGCAGGTGGCAACTACCAAATGGTATATGTTCTGTATCAGAAACTAGAGCTGATGTGTTCTATTCAATGCAATTTTCTGAATCAGCATCCCGAATAACTAAGCTTAATCTAAAGCTGACCAAAAACTGATTTGTAACCCTTTTGGTACTAATGTTGGAGAGTGATCCCTAGTCAAAGTGGACTCTGGTCAAGTAGTCCCTGGTCAAGTGGACCCTGGTCAAAAAAAGTTGAGAACCACTGATGTAAAATTACCCTGAAAAACTGTTCAGAATGGGTGGAATGTGGCACTCCATCTAACTTTCAAAGACTCTATATGGATGCTTCTAACAATGGATGACAGTGAACGTTCTATTTTTACTATACTTGGGCATACCATAGAATCACAATGGAGAACCTGGGGAGACCCACAAAAACTTCTTGGGAGGAAGGTGATTATTTTAGAGCAAGGATAAGTGAAACTGTGAGTACTTATTATATAGTTAAGGGGGTCATACTGCTCCAGACCTTGGTACTGTCAATACTGCAAGTTTCTGGTATCAAGCACTTTGGGCCAAAGGCTACTAATGTAATTCTAGCCCACTGTGTTTTGCTTCTTTTCTAATAACTTGGAAGATTTTGTGGCCAATAATTCAGAAGAGGATATCTCTTCCAGCAAGGCATACAAACTACTATTTGCACCACAGCAGTTAAAGCCAGTTCATGTAATTAGGTTTCAGTCTTATCCATTGTTTTAAATCAACATAATTATGTCTCTATCTACAATATGCACACATTCACCTACACTGACAAAATCTTAAATGCAACCTAATGTGCAAATATTTTCCCATGCTGGAAGTAGTAGTTTACAGTTTGTGCAATTCTGTATATATATATTCCCTTTTTAAAAAGGAAGAGAGAGGAGAAAGAACCCTGTCATGTTGGTAGCACCAACTCAGTCCATACATATTGAGTTTCTTATATCTCTAAAATGCTTCAGATCAGAGGTTTTTGGATTTAGTTTTTTTTCCAGATTTTGGAATATCTGTATTTGCATATATGCACATAATGAGATACTGTGGAGATAGGACTCAAGTCTAAACCCAAGGTTAACTTACAATTCATATGGTCTGCAGATAATTTTATATAATATTTTAATACTTTGGGGCATGGAACAAAGTTTGTTTACATTGATCCATAAGAAAGCAATGGTGTCACTATCTCAGACTTCCATGTGTACAATTTGGATTTGGGAATATTTTGGATTTTGGAATTCCGGATAAGGGATACTCAACCTGTACTGCATCCCCCCCTCCCCCCCGCTATTTCTAGACCCAATCAAGGAAGCCATTTCTAGATGTGGCTATTTCTAGACCCAATCAAGGAAGCCATTACTTAGGTGATCCCTCGGTGTCCAAGTAAGATTGTCCTTCAAGTGCAGTGTCCTGGCAGTGGATATGTAGGTGACTCTGGAGCCTTATTCTTGACCTGCATGTTCTCCCGCAGTGAGGGCGTTGGTTGCCATGTGGAAGGTGGTCCCAGTTGGAGAGGCTTGACGAGCCTTCCTCTTGGCATGTTTCTCTTTTTTTGTGCCTCTCTCCATTTGTGCCTCTTCAAATTCTATAGCACTGCTGGTCACAGCTGACCTCCAGTTAGAGTACTCAAGTAGGGCTTCCCAGTTATTGGTGTTTATGCCACAGTTTTTAAGTTTGACTTTGAGCCCATCTTCAAATCTCTTTTCCTGCCCACCAACACTATGTTTTCTATTCTTGAGTTCAGAGTAGAGTACTGCTTTGGGAGAGGGTGATCAGGCATTCGGACAACATGGTCGGTCCAATGGAGTTGATGGCGGAGGACCATCACTTCAATGCTAGTGGTCTTTGCTTCTTCCAGCACACTTGACATTTGTCTACCTGTCTTCCCAAGAGATTTGTAGGATTTTCCAGAGGCAACACTGATGGAATCATTCCAGGAATTGCATGTGATGTCTGTAGATAGTCCACATTTCGCAGGCATATAGCAAGGTTGGGAGGACAATAGCTTTATAAACAAGCACCTTGGTATCCCTATGGATGTCCCTACAGAAGCCATACCCCTGAGTCTGCAAGACCTCAGCAGAGCTGTTGATAGGGTAAGTCTGTCATTTATAGAATCCCAGTAAATTGCAGTTGATTTGATAGCAGTTAACAACAAAATAACACTGAGTCTCTTAAACTAATGTAATTGATGTAAATGCTATCTTTGCGGTTTTATATTTACAAACATCGATTTGACACACATCAGAGAATCATCCATTTCATGAGTCCTAATTCTCAAAAATAATTCAACTGAAAGTTTGGTACTGATGATGTATGGGGAGACAGGAACCTGAACAGCCAGCAGATGGTGCTGAATTCAAGCAATATTTTAAACAAAATCTCATGCCAGAAATTTAGCAAAATCTTCTAATAGCCTAGTTTTAATTAAGTAGACTTTTAATTAGAGAACCTAGACATGAATGTTTGGTTTGTGCTCTAAAAGTTCAGGATCTGATTTCTGATCGTTAGGGGTTTACAGTCTATCTAAAACAAAAACAATTGCCTTTCTCTCTTTAATAGCCCAATATTTGACACATCAAAGGAACCATTTAATGGCTTGGAGCTAATGTCGCCATGTACAGAGAAGACTTTTTGTACATGGTCATATTTGCTTCAACAGCAAACTGACTAGTGGAGAGTGTGAGAAATTGGAGACGGATCTGACTGCTTCTAAAACCAGAGGCAGAATGATGGTGTCTGCCATGATCTATCAGGTCCTTCAGAGGTATCAGTGGATAGTGCCATTGGTCTCTGTCTGACTATTGAGGCATAGCAAGATGTGCCAGCTACAGATGCAGGTGAAATAACTGGAGAAAATGTTGCTAGAACATGGTCATACAGCCCGGAAACCACACAACACTCCAGTGATTCTGGCCGTGAAAGCCTTCGGCAATACATAGCTAGATGTTTCTTCAATCCTCATTAGTAACAGGATGGTTAGGTGGTTTTTATTTTATTTTATCACAATGAAACATTGGTAATGTTTTACATGCGGTGCAGGAAGGAAATTAATACCAATCCCAAGAACTACCTGGCCATAGACTAGTAGATAGCTGTGCCCTACCTCTAGGGCAAGTGCTTTATTTTTATTTTATTTACAGTAGTTCTATTCCGCCCTTCTCACCTTGAAGAGATCATAGTGTGGGTTAATTTTCTGGAGTACAATTCCCAGATTCACCCAGCTGAGAGATTCTGGAAGTTGCAAAAAAGAAACTTTTCCAAGATTTCCTGAAGTTGCATGTTTCTTATTTACATTGGATGACTACTGATACTAGTACTCCAGCTCTAATGAAACTTTCATAATTGTATGCTCATCCAGTCTGTGCCACAGGTTAACCACAGACAACACCAAAAACCAAATGTGAACGGCCTCAAATACTAAATATGAAAATCTAAATAAATAACTCAGCAGAAGTGACATAAGGAAAATTTCTTATGCTAAACAATAGAGCTTGAAAATCATTCATTATATGGGACAACAAATGCATTTAAGAAAATGATAAATGATAGGCAAGGAACACACACTTTGTGAAATGCTTTATTTTAAATATTAGTGTGTAAGATGTGCTAAAATATAGTCACATGCAGTGAAAATCAATAATCAACACAAATGTTGACATTCATTCTGGTATTATCAGAATTATGGTGTGTTTTTATTTTTTTAAATGCTCTTTATTATAGAAGAGCTTTTTATTAATACATGATGAGGGTGTTTCTTTGGGTTTTTAGAAAAATATTATTTCTCCCAATGCCTATTTATTCATCTCATCTTCAAAGAAGCAGTTTTCATTGTTTTATTTTCTTTGTACACTGTATACCAAAGTATGGTGATCGGCATCTACACACATCTGGAGCAACACATTTGCCTCCATGGTGACAAGGCAGCGTACACAATGCTGAAAAGGGAAAAAATCAATTATAATATACAGTTCCATATTATATACACACAGAAACTGAAGACCACAATTAGACCAGAGCAAGAGTATGAAAACAATGCCAGTGAAAAACAGTCTTCAGATCTGACACACATCTCTACAAGGTATTGGAGTTATCATTTGTGCAAATTGATTAGAATTTTAAAATACAATAGTCCCTCCACATTCATGGGGATAGAAGTAAAGGATCTCCACAAAAATGGAAAGACCACAAATACAAATATTGCCTTTTTAAAAAACAGACATAACACTTCTCTAGGCATATCTGATTCCTCCAGTGTAATTTTATGGTCAACTTCCACCAGACAATGACCACACAGTAGCACCGGATGAAAGATTAGTACTAACACTCTCTCAGGGTCCACCCAGTCATAGGTAGTGTGGCAGCAACAGAAGTGGCAGCAAATACAGCAATTGTGAAGTATCAAAATTGCAAATGTACAACTCTCAAAGGCCGATTAATTAGATGACTATCCCACTGTTGTCATTTCAAGTCAGCATTACAAGAGCATGTAGCTTATATTACAGATGTTAAACTCTGTCCTAAGAACTTAGTCAGTACCATGGTCCTTACGGTTCTTCTCATTTCATGTCATTCCTCCATATGGATTTATTGGCCACAAAAGACAGCTCTGAGATCTCCATTTCAGAATCATGGCATTGGGTTGCTGTGAGTTTTTGGGGGACTGTATGGCCATGTTCCAGCAGCATTCTCTCCAAACATTTGGAAGCCGCGTATAGTATTCAGCCAGGCAAATGTGGTTCTATCAGGGATATCCCTGATAGTTGTCACTTATGTCTTAACTGAAAGAGACTAAAAGCTGCTGTTAGATTATTCTCTTACCCACTTGCATCTCTTTGTATTTAACCCTCATTACTTAGTCTGGTGGCCCAGCCACTTGACTCCTATCATCTCTGTGTGGGTTGTGACCAACCATTTATAGACCACTACATTAAGAGGCTCGCCTGTCTTTTATGTTGGACACAACAGTGAAGGCGGAGGTGATTTTCCTTTTCTTTTTAAGCCCCGATGAATGAAAAAGAGAACATAGGAAGAGTGTGACCTTGTAGAGTGAAGACCATTGATTCATCTTAGGCCTGTACTTTCCATTCTGACTACTGGCAAATTGCTAAGATTTCAGGAAAGGGTATTTCCATCTAAACCTGGAAATTCCTAACATCCCAATGTATATGATCTGAAGACTAGTCAGGGCCAGTCCTGCTCAGCTTCTAAAATCAGGTGAGATCAGTTGTGGTCAGAGTGTAAGAGCAGTGTAATTGCTTGTGAAATCTACAAGGTCACTATAGTTTTCAATGTCGCTTTCAATGACATAACTTTCCCCACTGACACCAGAATCTATCTGGCTGATGATGGACATGTATGCTTTAAAATCTAAAATTAAGTGTAAATTTCATATAGTATGATAAACAGTAAGACCACCATATCCATAGCGAATACATTTCTAACCGGATTGTGGTTATGTGAAACCATGGATATGATCAAACTCTATTAAATTAGCTTACTTCCTGTTCCAGGATACCATAGAATTGCACTGGAGCATCTAGAGATTCCTATTGTGATATCCCCTCTAAGAATTTGTTAGGTCCTCCAGCATTACTTATAGCAACTCCTAGGTGAAACATACAATAGAATTGTCTGGATGACCGAGCAAATTCCTGCAGATGACATTTCTCCCAGAAATGGGTAAGAAAAACCACAGATATTACAAGAGTCTTCCTTTATATCACCATTAGAATATAGAGCAATAAATAGATAGCACAATCTTCTTGCTACAGTAACTTGCAAAAATAATGCATCAGTCACACTATGGTAAAGCAGTCTAACTCATGATTGCTTTTACATTCTTTTCCTTCTTTTGAGCAGATCCTGCATAAAGCAGAACTTGGAAAAGTTACAATTTTTGGACTCAAAGAATCTTCTGGTCAGCATGACCTATAGCAAAGCAACAAGATTTCTGAAAATTCTAGTCCAAGAAGTAACTTTCCTAAACTTTATTACAAAGTGAAAGGAAACTACAGCAGTCAGCAAATTATCATTAGCATCATTAATAACTACCTACATTTACTACATAGACTTGGAAACAGTTGATAATTCACACAGGTATTTTAAAAAAATGGACCTGATTTGAAATCGCTATGTCTCCGCAATTGTAAACTGCCAGTGAATGAAACTCTTATCATTTGAAATAGTCCGGCATAGAGTTTCAAATTATTTCTGTTAGATGCCTCTCCCAGACTCCAAATCATTAAAAAAAGCAGAGAATCCACAACACAAGGCCTAATGAGATATTTTCCATTTGCAGATTTACCCATATATACTCGAGTCTAATAGACCATCGAATCTAATGCAAACCTCAATTTTCAAAAACCAAAAACCAAAAAAAGTATTTGCTGGTGAATGTAATGCACAGTGGTAAAAAGTACACTTTTTGTAATTTGGACAAAAAAAGGTTCAAATTACAGTGGCTACATGCTTATAATTCTTTCTTTAAAAACAAAAGTGTTGGAACATCAAAGCTTTTAGCAATTGAAAAGAAAACTTTGGGGGACATCTATGTTATATAGAATGGATCCACTTTAACTTTAATAGGAGCTCCAGGCACTCCTGAAGTAACTTCTCCTTTTGCTTTGGATCAGCTCTAAAATTACCAAATTATGCAAATCTAATGCACACCCTAATTATGGGAAAGTAATTTAGCCAATAAAGGTGAGTTAAGATGTTATTTTAAAGATTCTATCTGGCTCAAAATGGTTAGTAAAACTTGATAACTCATTAAACCATTTGTAACTTTTTGTGTAATTCTAACATGTTGCCATCCTGAAATATACTACTTTGAAATTAGGTCCATCATCATGAAACACCCTGCATATATATATATATTCATACATATATGAGAGGTTATACACCTAAGTATAGAGCAGAACAAATAAAAATGTAGGCTTTTCTTTGTAACTGGCAAAAAAAACCTTTGTTATTCCATCTTCTCCTTCTTAGCTTAATGTTTTGCCAAAAGAAAAGGACACAAGATGATTTGAAAAAATTGTTCTTGTTAAGCATTTTCTAGGTCCTCCAAAGCTGACCAGAGAGTCATGCTGTAGGACCAAGTAATGCTAAAGAACTATTATCTCTAGGAAATTTCTAGGTCCTCTGCATGACTTTATGGTCAATTTCCACTGGAAGTCATTCATTTCAATAGAATTCGCTATTATCAGTGTTTTCATGTTGCCATAGTATGTCCACAAACATATCCCTTGTAGATATGGGAGTTGCATTGCATGGGAAAATGAGGTTGGCTGATAAATGGAAGGTGTCAATATCTGGACTCCTGGTGACATTATATGGGTAAGGTGTATCGATTGTGCAATAAAAGGATTGTCTGGCAGCAATGATGAGTTCCCTGGCTCTGCTACAAAAGAAGAGTGACTCACCTAAATGACATGCTCCACCAACCCACCCAGTTGCACAGCTGCAGATTCCAGGAGCTACACAAACACCTCCGTTACGGCATCCCTGGGGACAAACCGCTGCACCAAAAGAAAAAGGAACAAGATATTCTCATTAACGCCTCTCTATTAAGAAAAAATAGCCAACCACACTTTGAGACTATATATTGGGGAAAAGGCTACACTTCACATTTTATCACTTTACTAGTTTTCCTGAAAAAATGATACATCCCTCATCCAAAATGCTTGGGACCAGAAGTATTTTGGATTCCTCACCGCCCAGATTTCAGTATACCTGTTTTTCTTGGTTCTGACACTCAACCATAAACATGAAATTCATTTGTTTCTTATATACTTTATACACATATTGTGAAAGCAGTGTCATATAATGTGAATACTTTTGTGCATGAAACAAAGTTTGTGTAAACTGAACTATCAGAAAGGAAAAGTGTCATTATTTCTGCTCCTATATGGACAATCTTGGAGTACAGTCAACCATCCATATTTATGGATTTGGTTATTCATGAATGCAATTATTCTCAGATATGATTATTAATGGATTTTATTGAAATGTTTTATCTTGGAATCTCTAGGTCCTCCAGTTTGACTATGGTCAATTTCTGCCATAAGCTGGAGGACCTAGATATTACTACAGAAAACACCTTTATTGCTTTTTTGGGTATAAAACTATAATGCAGTAGATAGTGTTGGATTTCGAAGAAGAGGGTCTGGATTCAAAGCCCCATTCAGTCATGAAGCTGACTGGCTGCTCCTGTACAAATGATTTAGTTGGCAGTCCAAATGAGCCCCACAAGCAAGAGGTTTGCCATTCTTGCCCAGGAAGACATGAGGTTTCCAAAGAGTTTTTTACCTTCTTGGCATCGTGATCCTGCCCAACCTGAAATACAAAGACACTTGGCCACTCCACTGATAGCGATGCACTCCCCACCATTTTGGCATCCTCCTTCGCAACTTACTGAATCAGGAAACAATACAGAAAAAAACAAGTCAAAAGCTGGAGTTTAGCAAAATGTTTAATTCCAAAGAACTTTTCTCCTTGAAGCTGCAGCAACAAAAAAATAATCTTCATTCATTTTTATTATATACAAAGATGTTCCTGTTCCAGCTTTCTACCCCAGGATGACTAATTCATGGAGAGTCACAGCTGATCTGTAAACAATTCCCCAGACACAAAAACTAAGCAGATAAATATATATTGTTTTCATCCTTTCCCCCGAAGCCTTAGAGTTAAAAATATTAAACAGGAAAGGGTTCTTGCATCTTTAAAATCTGTGTAGAAGAGGAGTTTCAGCAGGTATTCCTTGTCTTAATTTTTTTTTTAAATGGGGCTCCTGACTCTGATCTCATCCGGGGCCCATCAAGACAGGCTCAAAATGGTCATCCTTGTGCCTTTATGGGTTTTTTTTGAGGGGGGGGGATCTGGGGTACTTTAGGGTGGCTGGAAAGTACATTTCTTCCCCCCGGGGAAAGCCCGAGTTTTTGGAGGGCAGTGCGGACTCAAACCCGCCCCAAAGATTTTTAAAATCCACTTTGGCATGGGTTTTAGTCCTGTCTGGAAGTGCCCTCAACCTCAAAGGAAAGCAAAAGCAACCCCCCTGAAGAAATATTTCCAAGAAATGCCCATAATACATTTTCCTTAGGGTCACCATAAGCCAGAAACAACAAAGTGGCATTTGATGGATTAAGAGATCTATTGAAAGCGAATGCTGAGAGCAAAGTGTAGAAAAATCCGCAGGCTATGACTAGTGCTTTATAATGTACTTTGCTCTACCTTATCATCCCCCTCCCCCAATAATTTACAAGTTGCCTAAGATAAGCTTACCTTTATGACAATATCTTCCTCCATAGCCTTGCTGACATCGACATTTTCCAGGTCTTAGACACTTCCCACCATTTTTACATTTTGGATAACAAGTTGCTATAAATAATGAAAAACAAAGGACAAGGAAAATAGGATGAGATCTTCTGGGATGGGGTAGAGTCAATTGCAAACAATCCTCTTGCTTTGAAATGCTTACCAGTGAATTCATACAGCTGCCTGTTCTCAGTAAGCTGACTTGCTATTCATATCATTCATGAAGTATACTCAATAATGGCAAATATAATCAGCTAATTTGGTTTGTGAAATAGAGATAGAATTTTCTTATCGCATAAACACAGGGCATGAAGTGGCTGGGAAAAAAAGCTTATCAATCGATAACAACTAGCACTGCTGATTATATTCACCAGCTGTGACTCTCTCAGATTTTAAAACCAAAAGATGATTTCAAATGCTCTTTGGAAGGAAGCAGCGACAGGATGTCAGTGAGCCAAATATATAGCATCTGTTGGATAAAGTCTGGTCATTCAGTTGCAAATCCAAAAATAGATTTCCTAGAATACTTACAAGGGCAAATTTAATAGGAGAAAAAGCCCCATTCAAATTAAAATCAATATGTATTTTTCTTAACACTTATTATCTTAACCATTCTGCCAGAAACAGTGATTTTATAATTTGGGTAATACTGTTCATTTGAAACTTTCATTTCTGGGGTGTTTTTAATTATGAAACATTTTTTAAAACGGTAGAGATTCTACATTGTGGCCTATTTTTCTTAACTCTGTGAATATGTATACAGGCAGTCCCCGAGTTACAAACATCTGACTTACTAACAAGTCATAGTTAAGAATGGAGGGTGAGACAACAAGATGTGAGAGAAATCCACCACTCAGAAGGGAAATTCACTCCTGAAAGAGTTATCAAGGGGAAAAGGTGTCTCCACTGAAGCTTTCTACCAATCCTTGTTTCCATAAGAAGCCATTTTTTTTTCAAAATCCAGCTATCACAGGGACAGAAAGTGGGGTGAAATCTTCTGAACAAAGGCACAGATAGCAAGACAAACACCGGAGGTGTGTTATCTAAAGCTATTGCTATCCAAATGCTATGCTATCCAAAGCACTGTATCTATCTATCTATCTATCTATCTATCTATCTATCTATCTATCTATCTATCTATCTATCTATGGCTGGAGTTACACTTAAAAATGTATTTGTTTCAACTTACATACAAATTCAACTTAAGAGCAATCTTACAGAACCTGTACTGAACATAACATGGGACTGCCTGTACAGTTAGATCTCCCTATCTGCAGGGAATACACAGTTATCCAAAATTACAGACACGCCTGTAGCGAGTGGGGAGGGGGGTTAGGGGTTCAACCCCCCCCCCGAAATAAACTTGGTTTACTCATGAATTTTAACTGGTTAACCAAATCCCCATGCTAAGTCTATGAGATGCAAAAAATTAAGAGTCCCTCCAGAACTGCAAGCACTATCTCAAGCAAATATTGACAATTTATTCACACTATCATTACTTGCAGCAATAGCCGATGTAGCGAAGCAACCAAGTTGGGGGGTGGGGGTGTTGAATGCTCTCATTAAGGAGGCCAGACTTGGTGGAGGTGGTTGACAGGGGCGAGCTGCAGCTATTGAAGGCTGCTCTGCCCCCTGCTGTGCTCTTTGCGGGGATTGTGGCACAGCTGGCTGAGTGTCAGCTGCATTAAGATCACTCTGACCAAAAGGTCATGAGTTCGAAGCCAGCCCGGGTTGGAGTGGGTTTCCAACCAATTGTGTGTAGCCTGTTGTCGACCTTTGCAACCCGAAAGACAGTTGCATTTGTCAAGTAGGAAAATAAGGTACCACCTTAAAGTGTGGGGAGGCTAAATTAACTGATTTATGAGGCCATAAAGAAGACTCCAGCAAAGCATTCCAGCGGGAAGCATGCGGGGAATGCGGAAGTGCTTCATCAGTGGCGCAGATGGACGATGAAAGCGACAGCTCCCCTGGCGGCCAGAAAAAGTTAAATAGCCTCTGTTATGTCTGTATATGTTTGTATGTCAAAATTGGCATTGAATGTTTGCCATATATGTGTACACTGTAATCCGCCCTGAGTCCCCTGCGGGGTGAGAAGGGCAGAATATAAAAGCTGTAAATAAATAAATAAAATAAATAGGAGGCAGGTTTCAACCCCCCCCCCCAAATTTCCACCCCCCCCCCCCCAAATTTCAACCCCTCCCGAAATTTTTTTCTGGCTACGGCCCTGGTTACAGATATGACCCAATGTCATTAAATTAGCTGACTTCTGATTCTAGTATAGCATAGAGTTGCCCTGGGGAACATAGAGATTCCTAAACAGTTATCCTCTCTAAGAATTTGCTAGGTCCTCTAATGCCATTTTATATTAACTTCCAGGAGAAACAGAATTACACAAAGTACCTAGCAAATTCTTAGAGATTTTCTCCTGGACACAAGGAAGTGATAATCTTATCACTTCCTTGTGATAAGGAAGAGGTCTTCAGAGAGGTTTCAGAGAGGTCACCAAAAACCATCAGAAAACACATATTTCTAATGATTTTAGGCACCCCTTTGGCAAAGAAGGCTGAAGATCTCTCGCCTGTTCTTCTCTTCCTTTTTGAAAACAGAAGGTGAATCTTCCCTCCAAAAGTCCTCCTCCTGATCTCTGGATGTAGGTGAACTAACACTCCAAAACTCAAGGTCAATGCCCACCAAACCCTTCCAGTATGAAGTTTAACTTACTTACTTACTTACTTACTTAGGCAATCCATTGTAGCTCGAGGATGCTGGTCCTCCAAGTGCAGTGTCTTGGCGGTGGGTCCTTGGTGGCTGTGGAGCCCTATTTTTGATCCGCATGTTCTCCCGCAGTGAGGACATTGGTTTCCAGGTGGAAGGTGGCCCCGGTCAGGGTTGGCTTGAAGCGCCTTCCTCTTGGCATCTTTCACCCTTTTGTCCTCCATTCGTGCCTCTTCGAATTCTGCAGCACTGTTGGTCACAGCTGACCTCCAGTTAGAGCACTCAAGGGCCAAGGCTCCCCAGTTTTTGGTGTCTACGCCACAGTTTTAAAGGTTGGCTTTAAAACCATCTTTAAATGTTTTTTCTTGTCTGCCAACATTACGTTTCCCGTTCTTGAATTGGGAGTATAGTAACTGCTTTGGGAGGTGGTGATTGGGTATTCAGATAACGTGGCCAGTCCAGCAGAATTGATGGTATAGGAGCGTTGTTTCAGTACTGGTGGTCTTTGCTTCTTCCAGCATGCTGACATTTGTCTTTCTGTCTTTCCGAGAGATTTGCAGGATTTTTCAAAGGCAACATGGATGGAATCATTCCAGGATTTTCATGTGACGTCTGTAGACAGTCACTGTTTTGCAGGCGTATAGCATACCAAGCAGTTTAATATTCACCCATTAACACCCATGTCATGGCTCTATGTGATGGGATCAAGGGGGTTGTTGTTTTACAAGATCTTTAGGCTCCTTTGCCAAAGAGTTCTGATGCCTCACAAACTACAACTTCCAGGATTCCAGAGCAGCCAGCCATGGCTGTGAAAGTGGCGTCAAGCTGAATAAAGTTGATAGTGTCGCTGCATCATCAGTCATGTGAGAACAATATATATGACCAGATAATAACCACATGGCCAGTATTTTGCAGAAAGCATTGGTTGGTTTAGGTTTATTATATTTATTACAGCAAACCTAAAGAAAGTAGGAAGGAGAGCCAAGGTGGTATAGTGGTTAGAGCCGTGTGCCTTTAAGTCATTTCCAACTTATGATGATCCTGTCATGGGGTTTTCTTGGCAAGATTTGCCCAGAGGGGATTGCCTTTGCTTTCCTCTGAGACTAAGAGAGTGTGACGTGCCAAAGATTACCCAGTGGGATTCAAATCCTGGTCTCCAAAGTTTCCTACCTCATCACACTAGAGATTAGATCCACTGCCTCCTGCAGAATTCTGGGGTTTGTAGTTTAGGGAGGAGACTTTAACAGCCTCACTAAACTACAAATCCCAGAATTCTGCAGGAGACAGAAACCATATTTAAAGTGGATTCATTCTCTCAGGTTAAAAAAAGCCATTTTAAAATTAACATTTTCATGGCAGTCTTGTGCCCATGACCCCAGCCAATATAGGGGAGGTTGACTATTGAGGTATAAATGTTTTAAATCATAGAGTCATACAATCATGGGCCATCCAATCCAACCCCCTGCCAAGAAGCAGGAAAATCAGATTCAAAATACCCCTTACAGATGGCCATCCAGCCTCTGCGTAAAAGCCTCCAAACAAGGAGCCTTGACCACACTCTGGGGCAGAGAGTTCCACTGCTGAACAGCTCTCAGTTAGGAAGTTCTTCCTAATGTTCAGGTGGAATCTCCTTTCCTGTAATTTGAAGCCATTGTTCCTGTAGTTTGAAGCCAGGGCAGTAGAAAACAAGCCTGCTCCCTCCTCCCTATGACTTTTCCTCACATATTTATACATGGTGATCATGTCTCCTCTCAGCCTTCTCTTCTTCAGGCTAAACAAGCCCAGCTCTTCAAGCTGCTCCTCATAGGGCTTGTTCTCCAGACACTTGATCATTTTAGCCGCCTTCCTGTGGATATATTTCAGCTTGTCAACATTTCATTGAACAGTCGAACTTCTAAAAAGTTAAACTTGTGTATACAGAAACCTTTCAAAAACAGGTTTCAGTTTTTAATAATTTTAAAAAGCTCATAAGTGGTAGCATAGATAAAATAGAGAATAGTGGAAGTCTTATGCCTCTGTGCCAAGTGTTTATGAACAGCACTTGTTCCATGGGAATCATTTCATTTTGCTTTTCCTCCGTCTGTCCTTCCTGATCATTGTTCAAATAAGTCTTGTTCATATCAGAGTTTCTGAGGAATGGTTGCTCTCCGTGTGACAAGAATGTTTGCCATTTTTTTTCCTGCCGCACTCTTCTTGTTAAATAACTATTCCCTTCTGCTATTTCAAAGATTTCATTGATGTGTTCAGAGAGTAGAACCATCACTACACTTGTAGAATGCTGAGAATAAATCTCCGACAATCTCTCAAATCTCAATATAGTCCCTAGCAAATTCCAGAAGAAAATCTCCTAGTGTTGTATTGAACACAGCAGATAGCAAACACATAGAAATCAGGATTGACTCATGAAAGATTTATGAGCCAAGAGCCTGCTAAATTGGTCAGATAATATGTTTGCATGAAATCATCGCAACCGCAGTACTCCAAAAATGTGCAATTTTCCAGCTATTTATTTTGCCTGTTACGGAGGGAGTTCTTTTAGCTGTCAGTCACAAAGAATTCTGTGGAATCCACGAGGAAGACTGCCTTCTCAGCAAGTTTTAACCGAAAGCCCATGTTTAATGAGGATGAAAACTAAGAAGAAAAAAAATGCCGGTCGGCATAGGAAAGCTATGTGCAAAGAAATTTGACAGAGAAGGTAGAAGCTGATTTATCTTTGGGAAGAAGTTGCTAGTGCAGAGAAAACGATAAAATAAATAAATAATCTGTTTTCAGGCATGAACCATTTTCACTGGAGACGGTTCCCCAAGGCTTCCAATCATAAAATATCCCAATATATTAAGCTGCAGGTTGGATGTAGATTCATAGCTCATTGCCAGAGTAGTTGTTTATAACTAGGCTGTCTGAAAACTTGGGAAATTCCATATATCGTATTACTGACTGTAGTGGGTGGTTAACAATAATAAATGCAAATAAGAAGGAACCTAGGGGCCGGGACCCCGGGGGGGGGGGGGGTCGTGAGGGGGTGTTAGAGGGGTTGTTAAAGACCATAAGAAAATGTAGTATTTTCTGTTAGTTATGGGTGTTCTGTGTTCAGAGGTGGCCCTAGGTAATTCTCAATGGTAAGCAAACAGTATTTTGGCCCCCCACCCCCCCAACCAATCACTGATATATATTTTCTGTTTGTCGTGGGAGTTCTGTGTGCCATATTTGGTTCAATTCCATCATTGGTGGAGTTCAGAATGCTCTTTGATTGTAGGTGAACTATACATCCCAGTAACTACAACTTGCATATGTCAAGGTCTATTTTCCCCCAAGAGCGCCTCAAGAGTGCCCCTGGGCAAAATCAACTATATTGCAAATGCTTACTTTGCGTAATGGGTTGAGCCGCCCCTGTCTGTGTTGGAAGTTTGGTTTAATTCTATCCTTGGTGGGGTTCAGAATCCTCTTTGATTGTAGGTGAACTATAAATCCCAGCAATTACAACTCCCAAATGTAAAGTTCTATTTTCCCCAAACTCCACCAGTGTTCATATTGAGTATGCATGCCAAGTTTGGTCCAGAACCATCACTGTTTGAGTCCACAGTGCTCTCTGGATGTGGGTGAACTACAACTCCAAAACTCAAGGTCAATGCCCACCAAACGCTTCCAGTATTTTCTGTTGGTCAAGTTCTGTGTGTCAAGTTTGGTTCAATTCCATCATTGGTGGAGTTCAGAATGCTCTCTGATTGTAGGTTAACTATAAATCCCAGTAACTATAACTCCCAAATGACAAAATCAATCCCCCCCCCCCCAAACCCCACCAGTATTCAAATTTGGGCATGTCGGGTACTTGTGCCAAATTTGATCCAGTAAATGAAAATACATCCTGCATATCAGATATTTGCATTACGATTCATAACAGGAGCAAAATGACAGTGATTATGTAGCATCAAAAATAATTTTATGGTTGGGGGTCACCACAAGATGAGGAATTGTTTTCAGGGGTTGCAGCATTAGGAAGTTTGAGGACCACTGCATTAAATCATAATCACCTTGGTTAAAAGACAACAGTTAAATTCCAGAACAGTTTTACAACCTAGGAAATGCCTAGAAAGAGAATATCTTGTCAGATTTGGGTAAATGAAACAACATATACTGGTCTCATGGATATGGGAGTCGTACTGTATTTTCCAAAATAGTTCAATTCTGCATGGCATTAATAGAGTAGGTGTACTCCTGGCTACTGACAATATTTGGCGTACCCAAAGCAGAACAAAGGCTTACAGTACTAATGCTGTGACCCCTTAATACAATTCCTGATGTTGTAGTGACCCCCAACCATAAAATTGTTTTCATGGTTACTTCATAACTGTAATTTTGCTACTGTTATGAATCATCAGGTGAATATCTGATATGCAAGATGTCTCTTCATTCACAGGACCAAATTTGGCACAAATACCCAATTTGCCCAAATTTGAATACTGGTGGGGTTGATTTTGTCATTTGGGAGTTGTAATTGCTTGGATTTATAGTTAACCTACAATCTAAGAGCATTCTGAACTCCATCAACGATAGAATTGAACCAAACTTGGCATACAGAACTCCCATGACCAACAGAAAATACTGGGTTTGGTGGGCATTGGCCTTGAGTGTGGGAGTTGTAGTTCAGCTACATCCAGCGAGAACTGTGGACTCAAACAATGATGGATCTGGACCAAACTTGGCATGTATACTCAGTATGAACACTGGTGGAGTTTGGGGAAAATAGAACTTTACATTTGGGAGTTGTAATTGCTGGGATTTATAGTTCACCTACAATCAAAGAGCATTCTGAACTCCATCAACGATAGAATTGAACCAAACTTGGCATACAGAACTCTCATGACCAACAGAAAATACTGGGTTTGGTGGGCATTGGCCTTGAGTGTGGGAGTTGTAGTTCAGCTACATCCAGCGAGAACTGTGGACTCAAACAATGATGGATCTGGACCAAACTTGGCATGAATACTCAATATTTCCAAATGTGAACACTGGTGGAATTTGGGGAAAATAGAACTTGACATTTAGGAGTTGTAATTGCTGGGATTTATAGTTCACCTACAATCTAAGAGCATTCTGAACTCTATCAACGATAAAATTGAACCAAACTTGGACACAGAGCTCCCATGACCAAAACAAAATACTGGAAGGATTTGGTGGGCATTGACCTTGAGTTTGGGAGTTGTAGTTCACCTCCATCCAGCGAGCACTATGGACTCAAGCAACAATGAATCTGGACCAAACTTGGTGCAAATACTCATATGCCCAAATGTGAACACTGGTGGAGTTTGGGGAAAATAGACCTTGACATTTTGGAGCTGTAGTTGCTGGAATTTATAGTACACCTACAATCAAAGAGCAGTCTGAGTCACAGCAATGACAGAATTGAGCCAAATTTCCCACAGAGAACCCCCATGACCAACAGAAAATACTCAGTTTTCCGATGGTCTTTGGTGACCCCTATGACACCCCCTTACGACCCCTCCCTGTGGTCCCAATCCCCAGGCTGCGAAACGCTGGTGTAGATCATGCACAAGCAAACTTTGACCCTCCAGGTGTTTTGGACTTCAACTCCCACAATTCCTGTTAGGAATTGTGGGATTAGAAGTCCAAAACACCTGGAGGGCCAAAGTTTACCCATGCCTGGTGTAGATGAACCCTTGGTCTCCAAGAATTACTTCCAAGAGAATCCATAAACCATCCTAAAACATCCTCAACTTGAACAAGTTACTTTTTATATATATATATATATATATATATATATATACAATATATATATATATATATATATATATATATATATATATATATAACAATTTTTATAAGTTCTAAAAGTGTTGATCAGCAACAACAAAGGTTATGTTCCTAAAGTTCTGCCCTGCCACGTTGACTTCCAGCTCTGGAAACATTCCTAACTTGGAAAAGTTCTCTCTCCTCCCTCCTCTCTTTCTCTCCCCCCCCCCCCCAAACTGTCCCCAAAGTCCCAAACTGGGGGCTTCTAAGAGTACTGATCCCAAAGGGATGAAAAGGAAAGCCATGTCCCCAAAGGGCTGCCTTCCTTCTCCCTCCTCCTCCTCCTCCACCTCTTTTCCTCGAGTAATGCACGCACCGTACTGGCAGCGCTCTCCTTGGTAACCCTTGGGGCAGAAGCAAGTGCCGTTCCGGATGCAGAGCCCGTTGTGCTGGCAAGGCGGATGGCAAAGGGCCTCCGGGTCGAAGACGAAAGGCACGGCCAGACCCCGGGAGACCTTGGAAGAAGGCAGCAGCGCCTCCCCGGCCCAAAAGGGAGCCCAGGCGGCCAAGGAAAGGAGCAGCCAGGCGCCCAGAAGGAACCCCATGCCCTGCGACGCCTGAGTGGGTTTCCCCTTTCAACTCCTTTGCATCAGCTTCTTCTCCTTCTTCAGCTTCTTTTCCCCAGCTCTCCTTTCTTTTCGCCTCCCTCCTGCCTTCATCCTTTGGCTTCCCCCTCCCTTTCCCTCTCTTCTTCCTGTTTTTCTACTTTTTACCTTCTCTTTTGGCTCTGCTTTCCTTATACAGGCTTTTTTTTTCTTGTCAGGAGTGACTTGAGAAACTGCAAGTCGCATCTGGTGTGAGAGAATTGGGCGTCTGCAAGGACTTTCCCCAGGAGATGCCTGGATGCTTGGTGTCTCACCATCCTTGTGTGAGGCTTTGCTCATGTCCCTGCATGGGGAGCTGGAGTTGACAGAGGGAGCTCAACCCACACTCCCAGGATTCAAACTGCTGGTCTATCAGTCAGCAGTCTTGTCAGCACAGTTTTAACCCATTGTGCAACCTGGGGCAGCCCATGACGATGGGTAGATGTGGGATGAATGTCAAAAGAGCTGCACTTTTACTGGCACTTTAACACTAATATATTAATATTATATAGTTTTGTTGTTGTTTTTTTTGTTGTGTCAGGAGCAACTTGAGAAACTGCAAGTCACTTCTGGTGTGAGAGAATTGGCTGTCTGCAAGGACGGCGCCCGGATGATTGATGTTTTTCATCCCTTGTGGGAGGCTTCTCTCATGTCCCCATGAGGAGCTAGAGCTGATAGAGGGAGCTCATCCTCACCCTGGATTCGAACCTGCGACCTGTTGGTCTTCAGTCCTGCCGGAACAGGGGTTTAACCCACTGCGCCACCAGGGGCTCCTATATTAAATAGTATTAATATATACTGATGTTGAGCTATGCTAATAATATAATATATTGTTTACACATATGATATTGATATATACACAAAAATATTAATAATATAATATATTGCATACACATATAATATTGACTGAAAGGTCACAGGTTCGATTCCGGGGAGCGGCGTGAGCTTCTGCTGTCAGCCCCAGCTTCTGCCAACCTAGCAGTTCGAAAACATGCAAATGTGAGTAGATCAATAGGTACCGCTCCAGCAGGAAGGTAATGGTATTCCATGCAGTCATGCTGGCCACATGACCTTGGAGATGTCTGCGAACAATGCCGGTTCTTCGGCTTAGAAATGGAGATGAGCACCAACCCCCAGAGTCGGACACTACTGGACTTAATGTCAGGGGAAAACCTTTACCTTTACCTTTAGCAGGGAGGTAATAAAAGGTACCTATAAGGACATGCTTATAGGGGGGCATCTAAGGATGACAAAGCTCCTCCGCATGGATGATGGAGCAACATCACCACCTTGTGGCCAGAGTTGAGCACAGCCTCCAGATGCCAGAAAATGAAAAGATGAACCTTTTGAATTAAAGAAGGAGTTCCTTTACAATCAAATAAATTGCTTTCCCATCTCATGCTTTATACTTAGGTCTCAATATACATCATTTAAAGAGAGGAGCCCCCGGTGGCGCAGTGGGTTAAACCCCTGTGCCGGCAGGACTGAAGACCGACAGGTCGCAGGTTCGAATCTGGGGAGAGGTGGATGAGCTCCCTCTATCAGCTCCAGCTCCTCATGCAGGGACATGAGAGAAGCCTCCCACAAGGATGATAAAAACATCAAAAATCATCCGGGCGTCCCCTGGGCAACGTCCTTGCAGACAGCCAATTCTCTCACAACAGGACACTCCTGACACGACAAAAAAAAAAATCCAGTTCAAATCAGGTAATGTGTCTTATCTGCTTTGATAGTTCTGGTTTATATGGCAATGTAGAAAGGACCTGAGAGACTAGAGTATTATATTGAAATACAGTCATTAAATGAAGACAAATGCAAGATTACTTTTACTATATTATTAAGTTTAAAGTATTATTGCTTCTATTATTTATTTATTTATTTGTATCCTGCCTTCTCTACCATGAAGGGGACTCAAGGCGGCTTGCAGATAGACAAAAATTCAATGCCTTAAGCACAGTATACAATTAAAATACATTAAAATTAAAATTAAAAATAAAAATTAAATACATTAAAACATTATAAAACATTACTAGCACTATAAACCATGCAATCCATAATCATAGTTTGTTGACAATTGATTGCGATTTCCACCTGCTTCAATTCCTGTTAACTGAAGCTGGAGCTACACTACCATATAAAGTGGTGTCAAACTGCATTAAGGAGGGTGCTATGGAAACGCCCCATTATCTCAGGGTGCATCAATCTACATTGGAGAATTAATGCCGTTTGACAATACTTTAACCCGTCAAGTCACTGCATGAAAAAAAACAGTTCCAATCAACCCTTCATATCTACAGATTGTGTATCAGTAGATTTCAACCATCTGTGGTTTGTATTGTCAAAGGCTTTCATGGCTGGAATCACTGGGTTGTTGTAGGTTTTTTGGGCTATATGGCCATGTTCTAGAAGCATTCTCTCTGACATTTTGCCTGCATTTATGGAAAGCATCCTCAGAGGTTGTGAGGACCATAGATGCAGACAAAATGTCAGGAGAGAATGCTTCTAGAATATGGCCATATAGCCCAAAAAACCTACAACAACCCATCTGTGGTTTGAAATATATAAAAAAATCCAAAAGGAAAGTCTTGCCTTGGCCATTTTATATGAGAAGGGATACTATTTTATGAGCCATTGTACAGGGTTAGTCAAAATGAATAGGCCAATAAGAAAATTAATTTTAGACGAATGTATGTTTATTGTAACCAAACTACAGCTACGTAGCGACAGATAAACTATCAAAGTTTTGTCTCACCTTCAGAGATGTTCGATATGGGCGCCCCGTGTGACACGGCAGATGTCCAAGCGATAGTCCAGTTCATTCCACATCCGTTGCAGCACATCCGACGTAATGGCATCGAATGCAGCAACGTCTGGGAAGGTGTTCGTTGAGGTCCTAACCCTATCCCTAACCCTAACCCTATCCCTAAACCTATCCCTAACCATAACCCTAACCCTAACCCTAACCCTATCCCTAACCCTAACCCTAACCCTATCCCTAACCCTAACCCTAACCCTAACCCTAACCCTATCCCTACCCACCCTAACCCTAACCCTAACCCTAACCCTAACCCTAACCCTTGAAATTCTCGCTGGACCGTAATTACTGACATTGTTTTAGCAAATGTCATCACACAAAACGCCTTCTCTTTGCTTGATTCCGCCATTTTGAAAACAGCGACCCCTAGCGACGCCTAGCGGCATTAACGTACATGTGTGTTGCTCAAAAAAAACTTTGATAGTTTATCTGTCGCTACGTAGCTGTGGTTTGGTTACAGTAAACATACATTCGTCTAAAATTAATTTTCTTATTGGCCTATTCATTTTGACTAACCCTGTATATCATGTGACTTGAGCAACTACAGATTTTGGTATACATGGGGAATCCATGTTAATTGTACACCACCCAATGCTATGAAATCATGGGAATTGTAATGCTGGTAGTGCCTCACCAAACTACAAATCCCAGGATTCCATAGCATTGAGCCATGGCAGTTAAAGTGGCATCAAACAATTGCAGGAAAAATGGTTCAATGTTTTGCAGGAGTAACTCTGGGTTTTTAATTCTGCTTGCAAAGGTGATTCTCAGAGGACAAGTTCACTCATCAAATGACAATTTGGCCTTCAATCACAGTTGCTAACACAATAACCAAAACCAAATGCTAATGCACAAAACAGGAATTATTTTGTTTCTTTTCCAAATAAATCTATTGGCAGAATAAGCTCTGTTTTTTGTCAAGGAAAACATATGTTTTGCTAATTGGAAAGTTAGTATTTGACTTGGATAGATTAAGTTGAACATTTGTTCTACTGAATTTTAACATCTGTGGCTTTCAGGAATTAAAACTTTCTTTAAAATATCATCCAGTCAATACATTTCATTTTTCCTTCCTTCAGTTTGAAACTGAAGCAACATGCTTAAGCACTATATTTCTTCAATTCTTCAGCTCCATCTATACTTTGAAACTGCATTATATTGTTAAGGAAGACTAGACATGGCCAAACTTTGGCCCTCTAAGTGTTTTGGACTTCAACTCCCACAATTCCTAACAGGCGGTAAGCTGTTAGGAATTGTGGGAGTTGGAGTTCAAAACACCTGGAGGGCTGAAGTTTGCCCATGCCTGGTGTTGTTGTTCATTCGTTCAGTCGTCTCCGACTCTTCGTGACCTCATGGACCAGCCCACGCCAGAGCTCCCTGTCGGCCGTTACCACCCCCAGCTCCCTCAAGGTCAGTCCAGTCACTTCAAGGATGCCATCCATCCATCTTGCCCTTGGTCGGCCCCTCTTCCTTTTTGCCTTCCACTTTCCCCAGCATAATTGTCTTCTCTAGGCTTTCCTGTCTCCTCATGATGTGGCCAAAGTACTTCAACTTTGTCTTTAGTATCTTTCCCTCCAGTGAGCAGTCGGGCTTTATTTCCTGGAGGATGGACTGGTTGGATCTTCTCGCAGTCCAAGGCACTCTCAGAACTTTCCTCCAACACCACAGTTCAAAAGCATCGATCTTCCTTCGCTCAGCCTTCCTAAGGTCCAGCTCTCACATCCGTAGGTGACTACAGGGAATACCATGGCTTTGACTAGGGGATCTTTGTTGCCAGTCTGATGTCTCTGCTCTTTACTATTTTATCGAGATTGGACATTGCTCTCCTCCCAAGAAGTAAGCGTCTTCTGATTTCCTGGCCACAGTCTGCATCTGCAGTAATCTTTGCACTAGAAATACAAAGTCTGTCACGGCCTCCACGGTTTCTCCCTCTATTTTCCAGTTGTCAATCATTCTTGTTGCCATAATCTTGGTTTTTTTGACGTTTAGCTGCAACCCGGCTTTTGCGCTTTCTTCTTTCACCTTGATTAGAAGGCTCCTCAGCTCCTCCTCGCTTTCGGGCATCAGAGTGGTGTCATCTGCATATCTGAGGTTGTTAATGTTTCTTCCAGCAATTTTCACCCCAGCCTTGCATTCATCAAGCCCCGCACATCGCATGATGTGTTATGCATACAAGTTAAAAAGGTTGGGTGAGAGGATGCAGCCTTGCCGTACGCCTTTC